AAAATATTCTGTGTAGGCGTTCTAACAATTTTGGCAAGGATGATAGGTATTTTGCTTCTTCACTTATTTGACCCTTCTTACCTCGGAAAACATCCCTTCACAAATTTAGTCAATTGCACATAAATGAGCTGTTGGTGTTGTCAAATATCAATGGCACTGCCTAACTTTCAACTGCGCACACATCAGGTAGTTCACACTTTAGTGACTGGAATAGGTAGTTTATGTGACTGGAATAGGATATTAGATAATCCATTTTCAGGAAGTTGAATGACATACCAAATTCTTTTGGCCTTTGTATAACTTGTTGCATTACTCCCACCCACTCTCTCTCGACTCTCTCTTCTCTACACCAGTTGGCATTTAAATCAAGGTGAGCACTTTGGTTTTTTATAAGTTTGCATCATACAGATATGGAGTAGTTCAGAACCGAAATAGGGAGGGGTCAAAAAGTCCTTGGATTCCTAGCCTCCCTTCCTCCCTCTGTATAAGGCTTGACTAGCCAGTTGACTGTCCCCTCGCCCCAACCAAAAAGCTTGTAATTTTTCTTTTTCAGAGGTGCAAAATGTCATTGACAATGGAAAGGAAGGGATATGATTGGATTAGTCAATGAAACTGCAAATCATACTGATATCAAAATCAATCGTCAATTTGGCAAAATATCGCTGAAAACTATCATGATACATTTAATTATTGTAGCAAGAATCAGAAAATAACTGAGAGCGAATGTTATAAAAATAGTTTGATATTAGGAAATGGCGTTACTAATATTTACAATAATATTTTTTAAAAATGCTCGTTCATCAAATCCAAATGATGTAAATCAGAACTAGATAAAAAGTCGACCGGGACATTTTCACGTTCCAGTCTATGGGTAGCCTCTTGCTGGCTAAATGATTTCCCAATAAGAGACGCGATTGCAGAGGACACACCTCCGCTCTGCTCGCTGTTATCTGTCCTAGTACTACCTCTATGAGCTAAGTATTTCGCAAGTATTTTCGCACCGTCGTCACCCGGTGCACCAAAGACGTCTGCACCAAACGATTGGTGTATTTGCTGTGCGATAGACTGGCCTTCCATTATAGAGCCTCTTAGGCCAGGTTGAGTCTGTTTCAGTATTTTCAAGTCTTGTTGATGAAACTGTGGAAGGCCTGACTGGTTTATATGCATCGCAACAGCACGCTGTTTTTCCTGATTTGCAATGTTTATGTCGAAATTTTGTTTCATGTTTATCATGTTCGGATCTAGATGTCTTTGTTTTGCCATATCAATATTAATTTGGGCGGTCGGCTCGTAGTGGGCAAGGCTCATGATGCCCCCCGTCTGCGAGCAAATCAATGGAACTGAATTACTTGTTACATTGCCATGCGTAGAAATAGCATGCCCCAATGGCGGTGCATTCAACATTTCTCCGTTGCTTAGATACTGTTCTTGCCTTGACATATCCACAAGGTCTCGATGTCCAATAAAACTACCAACCTCGCTTACGTTCTGGCCAATCAGAAACTGCCCTGATGTGGTCTGTACATCCGGGATATTCGAAAGACCGATAGACCAATCGCATTCGCCGTCTGTTGGAAGGCTCCCAACGCCATCTTCGTGATTTACGTTAAACTTGTTAAAGGTAAAATCTCTTTCCAAATCAAACATTTCCAGGCCTTCATCAAAACTGAAAATATTCTTTTCGATTTCTTTCAAATTTGCCGAACTAATATCCAAGATTTTGCTGGGGGTTTCTGTCACTTCCACAGCGTCGCCATTCTGATTGCAGCTGACAATGTCAACATTTTCCTGCTTTATTTTAAATTTTATTTCATTGTTCGAATTATTGCTATCAAAATTGGTAACATGGGCGATTTTTAACGGCTCAGTTGTTCCTTGGGATGACAGGTTTGCTTTGCTATCGTCCATTGTTTCTGCCCATTCTAACTCGCTGATTTCAGACAATAGGTCGACCGGGTGGTCATTCACCGACCCTATTGATACGCCTGACTCTACTTTAGGGGGCTGGTAAACAGATTCAGATTTGCTATGATCTTCTACAGGTAACTCTCCAGATGTTAACTGATTTTTTACATTTTCGTGACAATGTACCCCGACTAAGTTATTTTGCTTCAATTTTCTTCTCAGCTCCGCTTCCCGATGACTAATTTTTTTCAATGCTGGCACAAATGCTTCCCGAAAAGATGGCAGCCTTGCATTAGCGGCAAAACTGTATTCAACAAAAATACTGTTTTTGGGCGGTGAATCTTCTCTCGGAGTGTCCTCTTCTTCTATTATATCTTTCCCTGTTACTGGGTCCAGCTTTAACTTCTTGAGCTGCGACTTTTCATCAGGCTTCATAGCCGGCAACGCGCTAAAATCTACATCCAAATCAATCAACCTCCTTTTACCCTGTAATTTCCATGGCTTCTGTCTAATGTTAGGAACAATTTGATCGCCACCTAACTTATCCATCGAAGTAGCCAGCCGGGCTTTTTCCACCGTGGACGAATCGTTCTGTTTCAAAGAACTGAACTCTAATGCTTGAAAAGTTTCTTCCTCTTTCAAAGTTGGTTCTTCTGGAACTTCAAAACTTAGATCGATCTTCTTTTCCGAACCGTTTTCTTGGACATTGTCGTCCACATTTTCTTTTTCCTCTTCTTTGGGATCACCATTAAAAAGCCTTGAAGACTTGAACATATTATCCACTGCCTTGGTCCACAACACGTCAAAATCAGCTTCTATCTTTTCCTCCACATTTTGTTCCATGGGTTCCGGTTGAAGGTAAAATTTGAAATTGGTTGATAAATAGTCGCTAGGACTATGGTCAAGCTGTTCTGTTGAATGCAAGTCAAATGGCTCAAGAATCATTTTGTCCACTTCTTCCATCACCTTCTAAAAAATGACTAACTTCAATCAAGGTTATTTCTTCAACAGCCCTAGCGAAAATCTACAAGTCGATAATTGATTTACGGAAGGCGAAGAATGTCGTATTGCCCAGTGGAATTTTGGGGCCTGGATCTACTCTATTGTTCTAAGAAGGGTCTAATGCCATTTGTTGATAAGGCTATTGTACATGCTGCTGGTAACTTTATTTATTGTTTTACCTAAATAACTTTACAAACCACGTGTATATCGAACCTGTCAACCGTGCCAGGTATTCAATGCGAAAGAGGCTATATTTATGTAAACGAGACGGCAGGAATAAAAAATAAACATTATTATGGTTTCTAAACGCCATTATGCTTAAAACGCTACATTAAGTTATTGAAAATGTTTCAAAGTGCATTATAAATGTTTCTTGGCACCTTTCCACTTCAAACTTAAATATGTTTAAATTTTTTATTTAAATATATTAAAGTAAATTAAGTTAATGATAAGATAATAATACAAAGAAGCTTTGTGCACTTATAATATTTTACTAACATTCCAGGTAAAACGGGCAGAGGTTGAGAAATTTGGTTTTTCCAATGCGTTTTTAGGAAGGAGGCAAGACCGATTAATTTCCTGGGGCGTTATCAATTAGTGCTTGTTCCGTTAGTTTATTCCGTTTGGTTTTCTGACCAAAATATTCAGTTCTTGAGACTTTTTAAGTCATATCGAATGGGCAGGGTAAAATCGCCCCCCAAAACCTTTGCTCCTGCCAGTGAAGGGAAGTCTGTCTTTGAAAGAATATCTGTCATTAAAAATTGTTGTCTATCATGGCTTATGTTTTGTCGGCACCCGAGAACCATTTGGGCAAACGAAAAATAAGGATTGAAAAAATTCGCTGCTGAATTTTCATTGAAGACCTTGCTTGACCGCAAAGAAATTCAATCGAGAGTAGGACTTCTGTGTTTTGACAGATTTGCTGCGAATGCAAAAAATTGGTTGGAGAGCAAGATAACATAGCACCTTCATGGAAGAGTGCGGTAGACTCCCAATTAGTACAGTGTTTCTCATTTCATTCAGTCACTTAAGTGTTTCGACACCTTAATCCACGAGGTGATTCAAAGAACAAGCTGGTATGTTGAGGTGACTGGTTTCAAATTGAGAAAATGTGTCGGGTGGAGAATTGTGAACTGGCCCTTTTCAAAGAATACCCACGAGAACACCAGTTAGCACACGGCCTCGGGGGAAATAGCAGAGGAAAAGGCTCAACTCCCCAACACACGAAGATTAAAACCTTACTTTGCGAAAGTCATTAAGTATGTGTATTTTTCAACAAGAAAATTGCAAGATAAAATAATCTACTTTACATATTTTAGTATATTTTGTCAAGAACCGCCTTTAGGGATGTCCTGGTGTTTTTTATTTCTGTTCTGAAAAAAAGAGTTTTAAAAGCAAAAGCATATGGCGGCTTAGATTGACTCTCATTGTTCCATGATTTAATAATTTGCAATATTAAGATTTTGACAAATTGATAGATGATATATTGAAAACACACGTACAGTAATAACGCGCACATAACAACCTGTTATTTTCAGGCTGGTATGAATCCTACACTTTTAAAAAGCGGCTCTTTTACTTGCAAGATATGTAGTTCAGGCAACGTGGAAAACGAAATCCATTTTCTTATCGAATGTGAGGCATATCGGGACCTAAGACAGACTTTTTTCAGACCTTATTTCAATAGTGTACTAACGCCGAAGCCTATTGAATACACATTTATCGATATATTGTCCTGCCAAGACATTAGCAAGCAGAAAAAATTCGCAAAATTCTTGCAACAAGCAGCAGAACTCAGAACAAAAACCCTGAGTATTATACCCAAAAATGTCTGCCCGTGAAAACACGTCAAGACTGAGTATGTTGCCATAACCCACCACAAAAAAATTATTTTATTGTATTTTTACTTATACATTATTGCTGCTCTTGTTTTGTTTTGCTTAGGCCGTATAAAATGTAACTTTGTATTGTGCTAAATATATATATCAGGTTATTGGCTCCAGATTCTTTTACGCAGGTTTTAACTGTAAAACATTTGTCTTGGATGCGTATTAGAAAAGAGTTATTAGAGAGGTGTAGAAACCAACCACATCTGGTATAATTCTATTTATAATAACAATTCATATCGTCTCTCTTTTAACATTAAAATCATAGAATCTACAATTGTTTTCGGAAGCCCTAACTACAAGATAAAAAATAATCACTTTACGAGTCTCACAAATATAAAATTAAGCTAAGCAGACTGAAAGTCAAAACAAACCTACACAGCCTCCTCTTCACTTACAAAATTCTCTACGAAGAGAAAAATATAACCCTTCTTTTCCTATCTTGGGGTTTGTTTGCATCGCCTCATAAAACCTAAAGAAAATCTACGAATGGAATATTCCAAAGCCGTTAAAGGGGGCTTGGAAAGCTCACAGCTGTCAGGGGTAACCCCTACTTCGAGAAAGTGGATTTTTCAAGAGTAATTTTCTTTATAGAAATCATAAGTTTTGATTTGAAAAACAAGTACACAGAGAAGTTAACGCAGAATTTTTGGCTGTTGTCGCAAAGTCAGGTATGTAGTGTATTTCACGGACTCCTTGATAAAAGCCATATCTGCATCATTCAACATACTTTGAAATTTACGAACTCATTAGAGAAACTCGTATAATTCGCTCGATTTTGACTTCAGTATATGAAGTAGCTCGTTCTTAATTTAACTAATCATACTTCAGCGATGAATATTTTTTATTGTTAAAAGCATTTAAGATAGTTAGGTTAGAAGCCAATCCTCTAGAAAGGTATTTATTATAAAGTATTAAAAATAGTTATCTCGAGCCTCTGCAAAATGCTTGTGAACATTTCGCTGCTCTATATACACGGCCTAAAAAACTTATAAAAAGCTAAACCTTTATAAATGACGTCATAATAAATGTCAAGTCCCCCTCGTGAAGCTAAATTTATATCAAATTTATTTAAAAGATTATTTACAATGCAAATAGATTAATAATTGCCTTTCTATCGTTTCATATTTAATTTCTTGAAGTATATCATTCTTAATACATTTAAGAACTTTGCTAAAATGTTTTTTATTATTTTGTTACTCCCAAATACTCCCAAAGATAAACAAAACTCAGGGGTTTTATCGGGTTGATGACAGATCCCCTTACCTTTTCTTATTCTAAAGGCCAATAGAACTTCATTTACAAACGTGTCTACTACAGAATGCCGCATTTTCCTCCGTGTTTGCTCCTTCCAGTCCATTATTGTGTGAGTATATTAATCGCTTCAAAACAGACATGAAGAAATCAACTTCAATGTTGAAAAACATTTGAAAATAATCACTTGATTTTAATCTGCCCCGCTGGTCATTTCTGTATCGTCTTTTGTACACTGTAAAATCTGTGCTGTCTTAATCTGCAGATGTTTAGAATCAACAAGAATAAGTTCGCTACCATCATGGTTTCGAACATGCTTACGCAAAGAACTTGGATGAGAATAAGTCTTTCCGCAGCCATGAATTAAACATGTATATGGCTTGTCACACAGATGGACGTGCATGTGCTTCTTACGGTCGCTTGAGTTCGCAAACCTTCGAGTACAGCCTTCCACTTGGCACATGAACGGCTTTTCACCTTAAAATAGGAGCAAAATGCAAATTAATAAGCTTCTTCGTGATTTATCATAAACAGTTTGTCAAGCCATTTGGCTTTTATAAAACCTCAAGCGATTTCAGTTCAAGTGCAACAAAATTTTTATAAGAAATCATAAACCGTAGCCAAATTGGCTTTTAACAAATTAGAAGTGGTACAAAGTCATTTTGTAAAGGTAAGCAGTTGTAAACTCAGGATTATAGATAACTTTAAAGTTAACTCTATTTACCACAGCCTTGCGTGACGTCAGGGCGTGGAAACATATCTGTTTAATGATAATACAATGCAAGACGAGGATGCATTTGGTGGTTATGATGATGATGACGACGATCATCTATTCACCTTCAGATATTTTTCAGCTTAAAAAACCTTGATGCGTCAAAAACGAATCAAAACGGTCATAATTAAAGGCTTTTAAGCAAACGGCATGCTTTTCTGTAGCGGTTTTTTATGTGAGGAGAAGTGTGAGGAGTATTTGGTATTTTCATGCAGGCAGATATTAGGCCCGCTTTGAAAGTATAGTCGCAAAGCATGACGGTTGCGCAAGAGACTTTCATAGATAACTACGAGTTATGGCAGACAACGTGACAGTTTTGTGATCGGTTCTCATTGGGGATGACAGGCACCGCGGAGCGAAAAGTGGGGGTCTAAAAAAAGTGGGGGGGGGGCTAAAACCGTCTAAAAAGAGGCTTTTCTGGTAGTTTGATACTTAATATTTGGCATTTTTTGCAAAAAGTGGGGGGGGGGGGCTAAAGCCCCCTGCTCCGCGGTGCATGGGATGATGATGATGGCGAATACGATGATGGTGGGAGAAAACGATAATAATGATCATAACTACAATGTCAAGAATAATTCAAATGATGAGTAATTTAAACACGGTGAGCTATTTTTACTGCATATACTGGAAATGAAAGCAAAAATGTATCATAACAATCCAATCCTTTTGTAAAGACATAGCACTAGATCTGAAAAAGAGCGTGTTTGAATATTTTTCTTCAGATTAATAAAAATATGTTGAGGTAAAAACAAAAGCTTTTGTACCTGTGTGTGTTCTTTTGTGAATCTTAAGGTTCTCTGACCTCGCGAACCGCTTACCGCAACCAGCAAATGAGCAGTGAAACGGCTTTTCACCAGTGTGCACCCGAATATGATTAACAAGCTTATACTTGGCTTTGAATGGCACATTATTCCGCGAGCAGTCTTTCCAATGGCAATAATGCAGTTCCGTTGTGCTGGGGCCGCTGTTGCTCAGATGATCCTCTGCAATATGGTAAACAATTTGATCTACAGACTGAAACTGTCGAGCGCAGATGTTGACTATCGTTTGTTTGCCACCCTCCTTTAAGACGTCAGCTTTTGAGGTCCAGCGACAAATTAGTGGCTCTTGGCGCATGTACTGTTCTGGACGGGCATAGGCTGCGAGCACTGGGTTCGACATGATGTCTTCTCTGCTAGCTGGCCTCGTCGGATTGACTGTAGGATTACCAGGGGTTGCTGCACCAACGACAGATGTATTAAGTTGAGGCTGCACAACCCAAGTTATGCCCCTTTGCCTTTCCTTCTCGACACCCTGGCCAATAACAACGGCTTGAGGGCCATGTTTTTCAACCCAGGTAGGAGAAGCCAATTGTATATTTGGCTGAATGTAACCTGCGATTGCTCCTTGCTTTATCACTTGATCAAGCCAGGCAATATGCTGCTGGGCTTCGCTGCTATTGGGAGATACAACAGGAATTGTGTTTTTCATCATGTCTGACGCCTCTTTTCCGTCTTCATTGACCCATCTGATGACATTGGACTCAACCGATGTCGTATTTGATTCCTGCTCTTCACTTTCCATTTCTTCGTCTTGGCTGGGTACAGGCACAAAGCTCTCATTAGTATCTTTTGATTCGTCCGTTAGTTCTTCACCAATATCGAGATTTTCTTGTTGTGACATTCTCTCCTCCGTTTGCTGATCAGTTGTTCCACAGCCATTTTCTTTCTTGTAATCAGGCTTCAAAACCTTTGATAAATCAACTTCAGGACCTTCAGCAACTTGCATCTTACTTGTTTCAGGCAGCTCTTTATTCTCAACTTGATCACCATTGCCGTTAACGGCTATAGCTTGCTGTTGAGACGCTAAAATCTGCGAGTGTTGGGCAAGGAAGTTTGGGTGAACTGGAATCAAATACTGACCATTGGAATATTGTATGGTGCCAGGTGGAAAACTGAAACAATTTTGTGGAATATTCACTGGACTGTAAACATAAGGGAAACTTTGCAGATATTGAAGCTGGGGTTGTTGTAGTTGTGATGTTGCTTGTAAATGTGCTGCTGACTGAAGTGATATGGACTGCAGTGGTCGACCAACCGAGTCCAATGCTGTTGGAATGTGCTGCAAGAACGGGAGAAGAGGACTGTATGGTGCAACGCGTTGTAAATTCGCTGGAATCAAACCATGTTGTGTTAAAATATGAGGGGCGGGGTTGTTAGCTGCACTTTGGTAAAGAGCCCTTGTTTTTACAGTTACCTGCTCAGGAGCAGTTCCTTTTGATACATCAACAAATTTACTTGGATTGGATGCTGTACTCTCTGAGGCACTAGTTTGCTGCAGTTGCTCACCATTCCCGTCAAACTGTGCATTATCATGAGGGTTTTTGCTGCTAATATTGTTATTATCGTTCTCATTCTCCAAACCAAAGCGTTGAAACAAAGACTGCATAGCAAGTTCAGTTTTAGGCTGCTCTTGAAAAATTGCTGCATTTTTTGAAAAATTGACCAATTCAGACAAACTTGGCAATGAAACGACCTCTTTTTCAGCTTTGCTTGTATCATGCCCCTCTAAACTTCCGAAGCAAGTTCTCCTGATCTCCCTGTGTTGGTTTCCTTTCTCTGAATTGAGGTCATCTCGACCTCTTCCGTTTTCTTCCGGAAACCGGTTTTCTTTGTCTCGAAAAGTTTCAGCAGTCAACAAACCCGGGCCACGACTAGCAGATCTATCCGAAATTTCTTGTGGCGAGTCTGTGTTTGGAATTTCAAAAGGGAAAACAACTTTGCCATTTCCATTTTGCACTGGACTACAATTTTCCGGACGTGCTAAAATATCATTTACGTCATCACATCTATTTCGAACAGAGCGAAAACTGTGACAAATTTCATCACATTTGTCTTCTTTGGTGAAATTGTTATTCTCTTCCAATTCATGCACAACACCATAATAAAACGAATTTACCGAATTCGGTTCACTTCGCGGGGTTTTCGATCCATCATTCAAAGCGCTATTTAGAAAGTTCTCCACAGTGAATTTTGTGACATGGTTGATATTTTTGTTTGTGATACATGATGTTGTGGGCAAAGAAATTTCTGAAGATTTACAATAAACCTCATCGTTAGCCTTGCTTAAACTGCAGTTTTCGCTTTTGGCAGTTGCATCCTTCGCTATATTCTCTCCCAAACACAAACCATCGTCTTCGCTCGTACACGAACTGTAACTAACTTTTTCTGCAGTGTTGTTCCTGGAATATCCAATGGCCTTTTCGTCATCGCTGCAACTCTCGCATACAGCACCCAGATCATCTTGCCGTGTTTCCCTTTCGGCTTGTGCCATTGTTTTTATTCTCCCTTTTTATACTGATGATCAAGCCACTAACAGTTTGACACAAAATGAGGTATTCCCCTTTGAATTTCTAGCAGAGAAGGCTACCGCAATGCTCCGTCTCTCACTGTGAATTGCCCTGTTTTCAATTCTCTCGGTGTGATTTGCCTTGGGTCTTAAAACGACAGGAATCTCGATCAATGTCCAGATATAATAGGGGGAGCCAGTGGGTCAACACAGTTTGATTGGTCTATTATCTTTCTGTTTAATAACCGCAGAGCATTTCTCACGTGATCAACTCTTTTCCTAACCGCAGCGGTCCCTTTCAAGTGTGTCTCTAACTTAGGTGACAGATTTCAATGAATTTATAACGTCTTCTTTCAAAATACCTATGAAATTCTACACTAAACTTCAGAACAATTTAAACACAGGCCTTTATACATGATAACGAGCACAATTTATGATCAGTTTTATAAACTAACGCAACACAGATCTTTATGAGAAAAATAAAAAGCCTAGTCTAACCTTGCAATTGGTAGCATGTTAAAATGTCATGGAGATCGAGCACCCGACAATTACTCTCTGTTCATAATAACGAAGCTTTATACACGTATATTTATTTGTATAAAACTAGTACTAGGATGCCAAAAAGTTTAGGAAACTTTAGGAAACTTCTTTTGATTTTGATCTTCATGGGTCTTTTCGTAATGACCCGCGTTTATATTCTTCCATAAATGCTCATCAACTTTAAAACAATATGACAACTTTAGGTCCTGAAAATATCAAACCAACTAGTTCAAGTTTCTCATAAAATAAAAAGCGTGTTACTGTTTTTAGGGATTTAGCGAGGCAATTTTGAAATTTTCCTAGGGTAAATGCAAAAGTTGTTGTGAATGAACGATGTATTTAGGACAACATGAACTCATTCTTGCACCAGGGTCGCCGAGAAGGGCAAATTTCCCAAGGGCCTCGAGGTCTAGGGGGCATCAACAAATAACGAATTCCATTTAGGAATGGAATTAATCAAATGTAGCAAAGTATGCCTAAAAAAGTAAAATATTTTAAACGATTGCACGAAAAATTGCTGCCAAAAATACTCTGAAATGCCAAATTTTCCTGCTCGCTTCGCTTGCACGGGGCCTTGTCTTTCTGCCCAATGGCAAACATAATCTCTCGGTGGCCCTGCTAACACCGCTCCATTCTAGATCTGGGAGGAATTTCATCAAAACCTTGGGCATCAATGTTGTAGGCCTAAAAAATTTCAAAATAAGAGTTTTGATTGTACTTTTAAATATATTGAATCCATTTAGAGGAAGGAAAGAACAGGATAGAAGACGCTGTGACGGAAAGGAGAATGGAGAAGATCAGTTGTGGGTTGGAGACTCAAAGCTGTCTGGTCACGCCTTTTTAACTGAAAAAATTCGTTATATGTGTTTACTTGTGGTAAAGGGTGTTCCCTATATGTTAGCAAAAATCCTTTTTCAAATCTTTGCTGTCATAATAAGAATGAGGATCTAATATGTCGTGACTAGATTTTAGATGCGTTCTTACCATCTGATTCACAGTTCGCATCTTATTGAGAACGGGGAGAACTGCACAGACATGCAAAATTGCATATAATATTTAAACAATAAAACAAGATTTAATAAGACAATAACGCTTCTTTACAAAGCATACAAAAATTGCACACTTGATTCCTTTAGTTTCTACTTAATCTATGCGAAACGCAAAATATTGCAGTTTCTGTGGGTTTTTGTTTTGCCAACGCGACTAGGGTCTTTAAAGTTCAGAGTTGAATTCTTAAACGAGTGCCGCAAAATTTGTTTTAGATAGTGTTATCGTATATTTTGCGGTTGGTAAGAAGCTTTTTGTCTAACCTCATTAAAGCTCGCTGCTACGGAGGAGAAAATGGGACTCATATGCTTGTTTTACAAGAAAAAGCATGGTATTCTGATTGACATTCATGCAATAGCGGTGCCAGGGGGGGCTGGGGGGTCTGGAGGGACACGAAAAGCGGTGGTGAAAAACTGTACACGAGAAGCGGTGGTAAAAAAATGTTTCGTTCATCTTTGTTGGACGCTCCTCCGCTTCTCTACTTATCGATTTTCTTGCTCTGGTACCTAGGGTAAGGTGTCGAGGGATAGCGAGAGTGGAAACTCTTGATCGAAGTATAAATCAAGGAAAAAAGTACAATCTTTTTATTTGATCACAGTGATAAGATTTGCCAAAAAATAAGGTCAGCGTAAGAACTACCGGCCTAACATGAAAAAAATCAATTATGAACTTAAATAAGCTTCCATGCAAATGTCCTAAAAATATACGCAATTGACCTGGTAGAATTGAAAGTATAACATATAAGAACAGTAAGGGCGAAAAATTTCAAAACTATGTACAATGCAATACAATTCAAGGTAAGGAATTTGCGACGATTGGGGCATTGGGAACAGACGCCTTCGGATTGATGAGGACTAGCAACGAATTTAATCGATTCACATCATCTTGATTATACCAGGGCCTCTGACGAAGGGGGGCATGGGGGCCCTAGCCCCCCCTCCCACCTTTTTCCAAACTTTTTGCTGTGGGTGCTACATTTTCCCTTTTCCCCCACTTTCAACCTGTTTTGGAGCCCATGCATACGAGGTAAAAAAAGAGAGAATAAAGTAGACGTAGTGCTCACCATCTCCTCCCCCCCCCCCCCTTACAGACAAACTGGTGAGATGGAGGCTGCGCAGGTATCTGTTAGAACATGTTAACATTGTGATTGAGGTGTCTTAGCTATGGGGAAAAGAGACGGAGGAAACTTTGTCGCAAATTTTCTGTCACACTGAGAGACAGGGACCGCGAACCAGTCTAAAAGTGGAGGGGCTGAAATGGGTGTGACCAAATTTTTTTGAGGCCACGCCCTCCAGAACGCTGAAAAACACCCCTTTTAGAAAATGCTTTTCATTTCTACTCAATTTTTATAAACAGTCTTATTCAGAGAAGTTATCAATAACTATAAAAATAGATAAAATCATTTTGAGAGCAACAAAACACCAAGCTAACCAACCTAGAAAATACATAATATCATTAAAAAAGATAAAACTGCTCCTACATAGGAGTAAACTATCCAAAGTTGCGTTAGAGTAAACCTTCCAAAAAATTTGTAGCCTATAATTGCCAAAAAATGGGGGGGGGGGGGCTATAGCCCCTGCTAGTCCAATGGCTGCGCGGTGCCTGCTGAGAGAGAAGTAAAATACTCAATTCTGTTGAAACACACATGTCGATTGAAACAGGTTGCATTCAAGACTTCTCTTCCCCTTTAAACAAAAATCGATTTAAATGACGCTTAGAAATGACGCTTAAAGTGACAAATGACGCTTAGAAAAAAATCTTACTTATACAACGAGCTTTGTGTTTGGGGGGGGGGGGGGGAAGATACTTGCACTTTTCAGGAATTGGATAATCTAGGCAAAGATCGTAGGTATTGCACGCCATTAATAGATTAATTATAAAGCAGTACACAATTTCAGAGAAAAAGATTTTTTATTAAAGAAGGTCTTCATCTATCCAAAATTTGTTAAAAACAATCAACAACTAGATCTTCAACTTGAGAGGGCTTATGTTAAAATCTTCTACAAATTCAATAAGGGTCTCTGTAAGACAAGAATATTGCCAGTTCATCATCAATCAGCTAGTTAGTATGGATAACAAGAAAATTATAGAAATATAATTCATAAGAATGAATTCATATTTCTTTCCTTTTCAACACAAACGATAGTCACTAGTGGAGTTTTAATGATCAGTGTAGATAAGTCAATGAATAAAGGTAGCTAGTCAATTAAGATGGTCATTCCATAGAGGGTGGTGTTAACAAAATAAGGTAGTTCTTTTAAATTAAGGTGGTCCTATAAAGAGTTAAAATGGTTTGATTAAAGCACTTTGGTGTATTATCCTTAGTAAGTAACTGGCAAAACTTGTGGACTTATAGAGGGCTAGGACATTAATTTCGTTTTGACTGGTTTGTTTGCACTCGTGGTTTCCAATAGATAAAAGTGATGATACACTTTTCAAAACACCATTCATTAGTAATGGCAAACATATAATTGTAGATGTATAATTGCAAAATAATAAGCAGCTTGAAATCTCCAGCCACAGCTTCTCTGCATTTCTTAACGATGCACTTTAAAAAAAGGATCGTTGATTCTAACTAAAGTACCTATTACGAAACGAGTTCTCCATAGATCTATCAAAAACCATAAACAAAGAAGAAAGCAATCAATCTACGTCCTCCTGAAAGCAATCAGTCTACTTCCTAAATACTTTTCTTGGAAAATCTACTTTTAGCTACCTGGAGCGGAAGATAATCAGTAAGAAGATAAATAAAGTATGCAGTTTTTATCAAAAAGAACATCATCAAACAAACTTGAAGTTAATTCAGGAATACCCATTATTGATTGCTTTCAGGAAGAGAAATGATACAGTTGTTTTGTATTTACATTGAAATTAGCATAACTAAACTTAAAAATTCATCCACTTCAAAACAAAAGAGAATAATTACGATTAAAAAATCGTAGCATGAACAGAATAAATATCAAAATCAACTTGAACAATACAAACAAATTTAAATATATATATATATATAATTTATAGTTACATAATTCTCACGGAATTATCACGTAGAAATGTCACGTACTATGATTGTCAACTATATCCACATCTCACTTAGAAAAGTCCCTCATCGTTATGACAAATTAAACTAAACTATGTTAGCAGCTTTCTTGGTATGTTGAGGCAAGCTGGGGCAGCAACTTGCTGTTCGTGTAGGATCGCAAGAGTATAAAACGGTCGAGCATATAAAATATATTTTTTGGTTAAACTATCTGCTAGCTCATCGATGGATGCGTTTGACTCGATGGCAACTCTTCGATTTGAGTTTTTCCTTTCGCACTTTGTGAAAGTCTCACTAGCTCATCCTTTATAGCGCGTATTAACGGCTGCGGCGTGCCTCCGTAGCCATACGTGCTCATATCGACTGACGTATGGCGAGGCTGTTTCATTTTCATTGGTGTTGATGCGATTGGAGTTGACTGTATGTTGTATCGCTCTGGTAAGGGTGATGGCATTGTGTTGAAAAGCTGCAAGAACAAATTGACCCTTTCATTGCAGGAAGAAAATTAGCACAAACTACTGCGTCCAGACCGTTCTAAAAGACGTTTGAAATCAGAAAGCTTATACCCTTTTTGTTACAAGTAGAAAAATAAAAATACTGTTTTTGCTGAAAATTTGTAAATCATTAACATGAATAAACACTTTGAGGCCTTCTTTAGAACCAAAGGGGGTCTTTCTGTCTTAAGGCTCCAAATGGTCACAAATTTCTCAATCCTTTCAAGGCCTAAGCATGTACGTCAATATACGTCCCAAAAATAACCTGCCTTATCTTTACTATGGTTTCAAGAACAGCGTAAAAAAATACTTGTTTATCGTTATGCGATAAATCAAAGAATATGCTAGGAAACCTGGAAGAATTAGCAAAGTTGTCGTTTTTAAAAGCCAAACGGCAGTAGCAATGCTACGTGGGCAAAAGAGGTCACACGATGCTTCTCCGCCTAGGAAACGTGGCTAACATACACTTAAGAGTTCTGTGGATTGGTAATGCCAGCTCAATATTCCTTTTTTAATAATCTCTTATGCAGGGGCGTACCTTGACGATTCAACTCTTGCGAGTCAATGTATAATGAATTTTTACTGTTTTATCAATATGATCTTGTCAATTACGAGTAAATGAGATCCTTCCACGTGCTATCAAGATACGCATCTACTGACAATCCAAAACATTTACCGACTTCCGTAAAACTTACCGACCAACTTTCCAAAAGTGGGGCGTGTACCACTCCCTCACACCCCCACACCCCAACACCGCCAACACCCCCACACCACCCAGTAGGTACGCTCCTGATCTTATTCTTAGCTTAGAATAGCTATTGAACCCTTGGAGCTGGCTATGTAACAGATATTTTACGATCGCAAACCGTGTATATGTGCAACAATCTGCATTTGAAGATAGCACGAAAAACCGGAAACATAGCCTAATATCTTCATGCCATCTTCGAATTTTGCGGTACCAAAATCTTATTCGGTTATAATACGTGTTACTTATATGATGCAAAGTAATAATAGATAGATACTCACAGGTGCAGTGCTGCTATTGATGTCTTCCCGTATTGCCTCGTTGGCATATGGACTCCAAATAACACCACCCTATAAGCACAAGTCAAAGATCTTAGCGTCCTCATACATACAGATTTGGACAAAGAGCTGGATTAGAGACTAACGTTAATGAATTGCCTGGCTTTGCTCTACATCAGAACTAGAGTATCTTACTCAGTCAAAGAAAAAGGAACAAATGAACTTTGGGAGAGGGAGATCGGGTGAGCCAGGGAACCGACCTTACCATAGAATATCTCTTTGTCATAATGAAAACATCTTGAATCTTACTAACTCGGCCTTGAGCTCAATTCGCATCGCTGTTTCATTCCAGAACCGTTATCATTTAAGCGTGGCCTTGATATATGTGCATGCTTCTTAATTTTCTGTCAAAGGTTTTCCTGATATTTATGAAGCAACCAATTATACAGCCTTTTGAACCTAATTAGGAATCGAGGATTCAGAGATAGTTTAGTAGTATGAAAATGTAGCTACTTACAAAGCCATCGGCTTGTTGTTTTACTGGTGTTATGTACACTGGTTGTTCACTGGGCGATTGCTCAAATGGATATGCAAATGAGCTGTAAGGCCTTACGTAAGTAGGTTGTCCGAGACGCTGACTGAGATACCTGAAAAAAGAAACTAGGAGCTTACAAAGGTAAAATGAAATGCATTCGTCTGAGACGTGTTCGCCGAAACTGCCTTAGAACTGGTCAAGATTTTACCCATCGTTCAAAGCAGTTTTTTTCCAAAATTTTGCTTCTATAGCGTAACGAGCACAAGCCTCAAAGGGTTATGGCCATGCTTGACTTAAACATTTTGTCTTTAACAAAAGAGTGACATCGTTATATCCCTTACCAATTAATAAACAAGCTAAGGATGAAATGAAAGCATTGGTGTAGATCTCGGGAAGCTCATGGACTGAGGCCCCCTTTAAATTGCGAAACAAAACCTATTTCTACTTTTTGCTTTTGAAGAAGTTTCTGCGAGTGCCCCCTTGTTCTTCCATATCATTACCCCCCCCCCCCCGTATAAAGGTTGTAAATGCAACTGAGTATTCTTACCTGCTTCTGTCGTTGCGATCCATTACAACCATTGGCTCTTTTGTCAACACTGGCTTTAATGGTTGCATTCCATTTGAATGTTCGGGTGGCAGTTCATAAACAGGATAGTTGAATGTCCGCTTTCTGTCACCAGGCGGAGGAGCAGTGGCACGTCCGTGTGGAGGAGGTGGGAGTGCGGGTACTAAAATAAGGTAGAAATATTACATTAAATCATTTTAAGTTCTGTAATTTGATGTTTACTTTCGTATGAATGGGTTTCCAAGACAGCAGGTATGTGACACAACTAACTTGGAATCAATATGTGACAATGATAAAACAACACCGGAGAAGCAGTGACGTAAATAAGAAGGAATAAAGGTTTTTAGAGAAAAAGAATCTGCTTATACCTGTATAGCGGCTGGGGAGGTTAGGTGCTTGGTTCACTGGTGCCTCGTTCCGTACTGACATCGCCTCTTCTACAATTTTAGGCCTAGGCGACTCCTTGTTCGTTTTTCGATGCGGCTGAAGAAATGAGAACGCATCGTCAAGAAGAGTGTGGATCCTTTCTCTCGCTTCTTCGATGTTTGAATCCCGCTCTTTCTTCGTTTCTGTGTCATCAGACTCTTCAACCTGAAATAGAAGATCCCGCATTTGGTAAAAGATTTTCTAGCTGGTGAAAATATCTTCCGTAAAAATCAACTTTTCATAAATCTTTCCATTAAGTAAAATTTAAAGGCGGAAATAAAAAGACTGAGGATTTAAAGATGCATATCAATGCAGTGATGGCGAAGTTCAAGGCAGTGAACCAAATTAGCCAGTTTTTAGGAAATCCAACTTCCCCATTGCAATGCTTTTCGAGGAAATATTACAATGCTGGACTGGCATAGTTAAGCCTTGGCCGCTTTAAAAAAAACACATGTCCCACTCACAAACTCGAGTTCACTAAAATTCATTATCTAATCCCCTACTTTGCATGACTTTAGAAATGGGTAAAAAACCAACATACCGTTGTACTATGACTTGGGCTGTTCAACATCATGTAATTATTCAACTTTACATTTTCATTTTCATCAGTCCTCTTTCTAGGCCCGTCGATCGCAATGTCCACTTTATGACTTCTCCTGAGCCTGTTTCGACGCCTTGCTCTTTTTTGCGACCTCGGACTAAACAAAGTGAGGAAAATGGTTAACTAGTTCCGAACAGATAGAACTTACAAGGGATTGCTGAGAGAGTTATAAATAAGAAATAACTCAAAACCGAACAAAGGAGTTTTCGGCGTTAAAAAAACTTTCTAAAATTTAGAGTAGTTGTTAATGCTCTAGTCTTAACAAAAAGTAAATAAAACCTGCCAACTTTGAGCTCAGAATTGAACACCAAAAATACCGATTTATTTTGAATACTAGTTTGACTAGCATTAATGATATACGGGGTAATCTAGCTTTAATTTACCTTTTTCTTGATGACATAGATAGTGATGGGTCAAGAATTGCATCAAAATCAGACTGAGCTTTTCTCCAATCTCTGCTTTTGGTGTTCGTTGTTTCTAAATCAGCCTCTCTTGTACCTGGCCTCCTTCCCGAAGCTCGCAATCTCTGACGCTGTTTATTACGATTTCTTTCAAGATCAGCCTTCTGTTTAAGGTCCACATCTATCTGCTGTAAAATATTACATTAATAGATTAGGTTGATTTAATATAAGATTGAATACCTTTGTATCCCTGCGGCGTTGGCATTCGGGGTATATTTAAAAAGGCATTTAATGTAATCCTTTCTAACCAAAAAATACTAATATGGCTTTAAAATATACTAGCAACGTCAAGGCGGATGGATCAAGGGGGTAGGATGACCAGAGAGTATGAGCAAGAAAGGAATAGACCTACATTGATTTGCTGACAAATGCTGCAAGAAATCATTTTTGTGCTACCATGCCATTAATCCTCCTCTTTAAAATAGATCAAATATGAAGTGTTACAAAGCTCATATCGACATAAAACCCTTTTTTCGGCAACTGCCCCCTCCATGTTTTTATTTAAGTACACTTACCGGTAACTTTCTACCCGTTAATGAAGTGTGCTTCAAAATGGGCGGCAAGTGTTCCGTTGCTGGTGCATCTGGTTCAATATTGGTTCTGAAACGGACAGGTGGGTAGCTGGGTGCTTCTTGGACGTCTTTCATTTGTGCAAGTGGAGGTAGTTCAGCAGCTGCAGATCTGGAAGTCTCAAGCTGAAAATAAAGCATGATAAGCATCAGAATTTTAATGATTGTCGGTGCTTTAAATGAAGGCCGAAGTATTTGAATGATCGCTGAAATGAAAGCATTCCTCCGAACGAATGATTTGGCTACATTGAATGCATAACACAAATAAATAACCTTTGAAAAGTTATTAAGAGTAAAATAAACGTTGAGAGTCCTTATATCAGCAAGAGTGCCCTAAAATTTCATTCTTGATGTTGGGACACACTTTTTTGGTCTTTTTGTGGTACAATTCATTCATCTTTTTCCATTCAAACAGCTTTCTGACAGCTTCCCAAAGTTCTCCCAGATCTTCCAACCTGCCTTCTGGGCTATTGACCTTAAAATTCTACCGTTTAACTCCTTTTAAACAGCATTTGACAGCTGGTTATACAAGTTTCAAAGTTCTTAGAACATTATCGATAGAAGGAGTTGGAAGTAAATCCTCTTGGTTCAAAAGCAACGTTTTCCTAACAAAGCAACTAACCATTTGTTGTTGTTGTGGAATCTCTTCGTCTGATTCAGTTTCTTCATCCTCGCTTTCGATATGTTTAGTTTTTGGTGCCTCGCTTGATTTCTGCACCGGCTCAGCAATTCTCCTCTGCTCACGGCTAGGCCCTGGTTGCACTTCAACCGCCTTCTTAGCGGATACTGGTCGTTTGGGTTCAGTTGTCTTTGCCGGAGGAATATCTGATTCGTAATCATCCTCGTCGTCTTCAATATCATCCTCCATATCGTCCTCATCCTCCTCCGACTCTTCGTATGCAATGTTTTGCCTGGAGTAGCAAAGACCATAAGTCATTAATTTATTCTACGATTTCAATTAATTCATTTCATTCTATGATAGAGAAGCAGATTTCAGCATCATGCTGTTTCAATGTAAAAGACAGATCGGACGACTTGCCTTCCAGAACGAGCAACATAGGCTTTCTGCGAAGGAGTTTCACGTGGTTTCACCTTTCTTCTCATCGATCTTGAAAGATCTGGTCTCTCATCTTGGTCAGCGGGCGCTGTGAAGGTAGTAGTTTTAAGAGCCGGACCTCCCTGGCTCCTTCCCTCTGCATACTTGGCAATGTCTCTGTAGCCACCATAGCCCTGTATACAAAATGCATACCGTTAAGTGCAGTACAGACAGCAAAGTGAATGAAAATCACTGAATTCCTTTGCATAATAATTTAGCATGAATAATTCATTACAATTATTCTAGCATAATTTATACATTTTTCATCTAGCAGAGAATATTTTATGTTCAAAAAGCCTCCTGAGCATGCATGCTATAACAGTTGTAAGTTATTGCAAAAAACAGATTAAAAGATATCATTTGGATAAAAGATCCATACCATTCCTTTATCTTCTGTTTTATCTTTCATTTGAATCTGTTCTATGTCGAGCTTTCTCTTAGGCCCACCCATGGTCCATCTCCAGTACAGGCAAGCAAACACAATAAGCACAAGAACGAAGGCTCCCACGGCAACGCCGATTACCCACAAAAAGTTGTCACCTGACGAAGCTTTCTTTGGTGCTACTTCTACTGCAGTTGGAACCTTGACAACCTAAAAAGAAGAAAGCCTCGAGGATTAAGATGAAAACAATTTCTTGTTAAAAAATTGTAAGTAAACTCACATCAAATCAGATTCTTTCAAGAAAACTGTTTTGAATGTTTAAATAATTTTTAGACAACTAACACAAAAGTCCTGCACAGGGTTTTCGCAATTAAAATTCATGAAATTCAAATTCAGAGATTGAAAAACACACGTGGGAGGCCTTTCGTCAATAGGTTTGCTAGATGGGAATGGTTGTCTTACCTCAACCCCAAGAATGCTTGACATCTGATTCACCTGAACTCTGTTTAAAATTGTAGCTAACGTCACTCCAACAAGGACCTCACCTCGATCAAGCACAAAGAAAACAACGACAGCTTGATTGTTTGTGGATGTAGTCAAAGAAACGATCTGCAAGACATAATGGTGTGTAAAGATCTATATATATTGAAAAAGATTAACTGAGAAATTGAAAGCTTTTGTAGTCATACATGGCGGCCTAATACTTGACACCAAAGGTTCTTCAAAACTCTTCAAAAAATTGCAATGAATTTTTCCAATACTTCATGTACGACATCTTAAAAGGCAGAGACGCAAGCAGAAGAAGCCAGTGATAAATTTATAAATTAACTGTAGCTAAGCAGCTCGCAAGACTCACCGATGCAGATATGCTAGTCACTGCTCTTCGCTTACGACGGGCCGTAATATCTTTCGCAAGTCGATACAGCGATGCGATTCGTAACTCCAAATCATTCTTGAATGCGCTACTGTTGAAGCTAGTGCTTGAGCTGACTGATTTTATTGTCATATGCACCTGATAAACTGGCGAAGTTACGACTGTTGCAACAGCGTAAGGCAATGAAATTACCTGTGAAAAATGGCGAAATATGTAATGAAACGCTATAAAATAGAGGGGAAATAAGAGATAAGGCTTGAAATTGTACATTAAAAATGGGCACCACCTTGGGGTATCAAGCACCATATTACAGAACAATTCTCAGACAAAATATTTTGCCCTGGTCACTTAAGGAAGCGAGGGGATAGAAGGGTATTGTTAGACTCATTATACCTACAGGATACTAAAAAATCAATGAGACAACAGTGAAGCCCTACAGAATATATAGAACGACTTTGTTTGAAGAGAGATTGGGATGATATTGAAAACATGCAAAAGTCTAATGCAGCGACATTTGATAGGCACGGCATAAAAGCAAGTCCTAGTTGTTAAAAGTAGCAGACACCCAAGAGGGGCACCCCCAGGGGCATTAAATCGCTGAAGTGCTAGTTATGGGCTGATGGAAAAAAGGGTATTCAGAAACTTACCGTCATTCCCAAGATGGCGCTTAGAGTAGCAGTAGTCACTCGTGTTGTAGGGTTAGTATAAGATGACTGAACGTCCGTGGCGTTTTGTGTCACTCCAGAAACATTGACATAAAATTCCAAGTAAACAATGCTTTTTGGTTCATGTTTTATATAGATGACCTGGAAAATAAAAAAATTAAAAATGTCAATCAGGAGATTTCAAGTTTGTCAACCAATCATGGCATGGTTTATTCAAAATGGCTATTATGAGTAAGGATTCTATACGAAAACGTTACTTTATGACATAAATAAAATACCGTAGAACAAGACAGGTTCGTTTTAAATGCAACACTATACATTCAAATTCCATTTCTTCGGAAAAGGTATGTATCTTTGGCGAGACAGTAAACATAAAATGAAATTGAGAGAAAAAAAGTGGATAGTAAAAAGGGGATTTCATAGTGTAATTTTATTGAAAAAGTTGATGTGAATATGTTCGGTGCTGCATCATCACGTCTCTTATCTTTGTACCAATAACAAGCTACTATACTTTGGTTTGAGCTTGTTGCAAAATCGCACTACAGAATGCAAAATGAAAAACAAACAATTTGCGGGAGCAAAATCAATTGCTTTGATGAAAAAACTTACAGTAAAAATGACTTCACTGGATAGTTTGTTGTTCGTCTTATATTGATTTGCCATTTTCTGCTCAAAAACTGCTTTGTTATTTCCAGAAGAAATATTGTTCTTGACGTCATCAGTAAGAACCATTCCAAGCAACAGATTTTCAGCAGGACGGGGGGTGGTAACCGGAGTTGTTGCATCAACTGCCGTGACGGGTGACAAAGCCTGTAAGAAAATGTTCAGCAAATTAGTGGATATGTTTTCCGAGTGGAAGCCAGACGGATATATGGAGTGACATAGCTGAGACTAGCATTAACAAAGAGAAGGGTCTTTAATATGAAACAGTATTAGATATCAATTTGAGGTCTAAAAAAGAAAAAGATTTTAGCTTAAGAAATCGGAAAGTAACTGTAACTCAATTCAATAATACACAGTGTGGAATGGTTAAAGTATTCGAAATTATAAAAGATATGTCTTAAAAAAATTGCTTATAAATTATATATCAAATCTAGATCAGAAAGTATATTTTGGATGGGTAAACATATGCATGAGATACGGCCTTTTAGCTGAAGAGAAGAAAACAAAATGATCGATAGCAAACAAATTCTAATGTAAATGATGGAAAAAAATACGTCACGTAACAAAAGACTTGACATACCGTATACTTGACACGCTGACTAAGAGCACTTGGCGTCAGTTGATTTAAGGTGGCACTGGCCTTGCTCGCGCTGACAACTGTGTTGTTTTCTTCTACGTAAAACTGAACTTCGATGGTCTCACTGTTTCCCTCGCGTTTGATTGCCGTCACCTTATAGAAAATCGTACATAAGTTACAACAAAGTTTGCTATGTAAATCTCTCTCTCAATCACAATTTCATGCCTTAAAAATCAAATCTTCTAAAAACAATTACGGTTATACCCGTCTGTCATTAAGTGCTTGATGCCGTATGGGCAGAGCTGCACCTATTTTGATATGAGGAACAGAACGGTTCTAAGTTGCAGCTCCCAGTTTCACTCTTAACAAGATCACATGGCAATAGATTTTATGCAAACATGTTGCTTCTGGGAGAACAGAAAAGGCAAATTCTAAAACAGCCAAGCATAAATAAAACGAGATTCTGTGCTTTTGATCTAAGTTCTAGCATTAAAATGCTTATAAAATTACTGATTAAACGATTAATAAAATAATCAAGCCAATCAACACGTAATCAACATGACAAAGTCACGATAAAGCACGCTTTCACTCTATTTCAGGAGCTAACAACTTTTCAAAATCAAAACAATTTAGGGAGAAGTATGATCCCTTTTCAAGCTAATTAGATTTATCCAAAATTAAAACCTAGTGAATAGTAGACAAAAATGGGTGTAATTTAAAACAGATTGAACATTTTTTGAGAATATATGTGTGTCAATGTGCAATTTTTTTCAGACATTTTTCTATCAAAAATTGATAAGCAAAGGAAATGATATCTGGAAATAAGACTTACATTGACAGTTGTTGTTCCTTGAGTGACAGCTCTCTTTCTTCTGCGGGCAGGAAACAACAACCTGTCGTAGGTTTTTGCCAAATTTGATTCGATGTCATTCTGAAACTGCGTCGTAGTGAAATCGACAGTGAGAGGCACACTCAGTAACAGTCGACACAACGCGCGAAAAATTGGAATTGTCGTTGGAATGGCAGGAGTTGGCTGAGGAGTGACAATCGTTCTAGCTACGGCGGTTGATAAAGTTCTGGTTGTGCTTATAGAAACAGTGGTTACAAGGATACTTGCCTTGCCAATCGAGGCTGAGAATACTGCAGACATCGAAGAACCTCCTACTGGTCTTGATTGTACGGAAGAAGTCGGCAACGATTGTAAGGCTGAGGAGGTTTGTGTTGACTGACTTTTGATTGCTGCAGATGAAAATACAGATGACGCAACAGCTGAATATTGAGATTTAGAGTGAGAAGAGACCTCTGAGACTCTCAGAGACGCGATTCTCGAGCTTTCTATCGGTGCTATTCGACTTGAACTTGAAGTTTTTGGGTAACTGGATGACTGCAGTGTAACAGGCGTGGAAACATCCGAGATGACGTGACGAGAACTGGACTGAGTCTCCACTGGAGTAAAAGTCAATACTGAAGACTTAGACACGACTTGCGCTGAACTTGCTGCTGCAGGTACTGAAGTCAGGTCGGAAGACTTAGACACGACTTGCGCTGAACTTGCTGCTAGTGGAGTAGATAGCGAACTGGCTTGCCCAAGAGTATGTATTTTTGTCATGGAAAACTGAATGGCCGACGATGTAAAACTTGAGCCAGACAGCATACCCATAGAAACAGAAGGAGCAATTACGCTGAAACTTGGATACGAGCTGCTTGTTTGAGTAGCCAATTTCATCGATGAAGAGTAAATAACAGTTGAGGCTTGTAAATGACTTGTTGTCAGCATTCTGGCCAATGAGACAGTTTCTACTGTTGGTATCACCGCTGTGTGCGTGGACAATATTCCGGAGATTGGCTCTTTAGCTGTTGTTATCAAAGGCATCACAAGACTAGATGACATTACTGGCTGCAATGTTGAAAAAGGCAGCCTAGATTGATTTGCAGTCATGGCTAGTGATATTTCTGGAGACGACAATGATGGAAGCACTTGTTGCGAAGGTCTGCTTACTGAAGTGACGTTAGGCCCTGATGACACATAACTAGAAGAAATGGCCTCCGAAGACGGTGTCAGATAAGCTGATAGAGCCAGTGTTCTCTCTGTTCCTGTAACAATTGACGTTCTGCTAAGCAATGCAGGAGTGACTGTAGACAATGATGCTGCAATGCTAGATGGGAAAACTTTACTTGTATAGTATGCGACACACAAACCTAGAGTTGACGTCACGGTTACTGTTCCTGCAACTGATGAAATACCAGAGCTTGAAACTGTTTTTTGAAGAACTGACGATGAAGCATCCAGTGATGAAGACAACGGTGTTTGATTCAAGGCAGGCGTCACTGAAGGCAGTTCTGATGAAACCGGGTATGCAGTTAGCTTAGCACTCTTTGACTGCATCGATTCACTTGCATATATTGAATGGAATGTCAACGATGTTAAATCACTAACCAAAGAGGACAAGGGTGTTTCGCTTGATACAAATACACTGTTCTTAAAAGCCCTACTGCTTGAGTTGCCAACTGTTTGAGTGGTTTGTTGACTTTGACTTCCTGAAAGTGATGCTGATGGAGATGGTACTAAACTTTCAATTGAGGTGTGTGGCACTATCGCAGTTGGTATAATAGTGGAACTTATATTGAGCGAAACAATAGTTATGTTGCTCATGTTTTCAGCTATATTTGATGTCCTTTGTTCTTGGCTTCGTAAAACAGACGCTGACGCAACTGAAGATACCGAATTTGATACAGAGCGCTTATACAATGTTGAAGTAACAACAGGAGTGTAAAATTCAAATGAAGCACCTGTCTGGCTGGACACATTGTTGGCTGTTTGGGTTGAATGTTTCAGCTGGCTTCCATCAACAGAAGCTGACTGGGCAGACGTAAATTTTGAAAGGAGGCTCTGAAGAAGTGTTGCAGTTGGCACAAAATTTGAACTCATGTTGGAGGCAATTGAAGCAGCTATTTGAGTCGTTAACTGGCCAACTGCAGCGGTTGTTTTCTGATTCTGGCTTCCCTCAATAGACGCTGAATGGATAAATGTAGAATTTGGCAGCAAGCTCCGAAGCAGTGTCGCAGTTGGCACAAAATTGGAACTCATGTTGGAGGCAATTGAAGCAGCTATTTGAGTCGTTAACTGGCCCGCTCCAGCGGTTGTTTTCTGATTCTGGCTTCCCTCAATAGACGCCGACTGGATAAATGTAGAATTTGGCAGCAAGCTCTGAAGCAGTGTTGCAGTTGGCACAAAATTGGAACTCATGTTGGAGGCAATTGAAGCAGCTATTTGAGTCGTTAACTGGCCCGCTCCAGCGGTTGTTCTCTGATTCTGGCTTCCCTCAATAGACGCTGAATGGATAAATGTAGAATTTGGCAGCAAGCTCTGAAGCAGTGTTGCAGTTGGCACAAAATTGGAACTCATGTTGGAGGCAATTGAAGCAGCTATTTGAGTCGTTAACTGGCCCGGTCCAGCGGTTGTTCTCTGATTCTGGCTTCCCTCAATAGACGCTGAATGGATAAATGTAGAATTTGGCAGCAAGCTCTGAAGCAGTGTCGCAGTTGGCACAAAATTGGAACTCATGTTGGAGGAAATTGAAGCAGCTATTTGAGTTGCTACAGGGCCCCCTGCAGCGGTTGTTTCTGATTCTGGCTTCCCTCAATAGACGCTGAATGGATAAATGTAGAATTTGGCAGCAAGCTCTGAAGCAGTGTCGCAGTTGGCACAAAATTGGAACTCATGTTGGAGGAAATTGAAGCAGCTATTTGAGTTGCTACAGGGCCCCCTGCAGCGGTTGTTCTCTGATTCTGGCTTCTCTCAACAGACGCCGACTGGATGTATGTAGAATTTGGCAGCAAGCTCTGAAGCAGTGTTGCAGTTGGCACAAAATTGGAACTCATGTTGGAGGAAATATAAGCAGCTATTTGAGTTGCTACAGGGCCCCCTGCAGCGGTTGTTCTCTGATTCTGGCTTCCCTCAATAGACGCTGAATGGATAAATGTAGAATTTGGCAGCAAGCTCTGAAGCAGTGTTGCAGTTGGCACAAAATTGGAACTCATGTTGGAGGCAATTGAAGCAGCTATTTGAGTCGTTAACTGGCCAACTGTAGCGGTTGTTTTCTGATTCTGGCTTCCCTCAATAGACGCTGAATGGATAAATGTAGAATTTGGCAGCAAGCTCTGAAGCAGTGTTGCAGTTGGCACAAAATTGGAACTCATGTTGGAGGAAATTGAAGCAGCTATTTGAGTCGTTAACTGGCCCGGTCCAGCGGTTGTTCTCTGATTCTGGCTTCCCTCAATAGACGCTGAATGGATAAATGTAGAATTTGGCAGCAAGCTCTGAAGTAATGTCGCAGTTGGCACAAAATTGGAACTCGTGTTGGAGGTAAATGGTTCAACTGGCGCTATTATGGTGAAGTTGAAGACAGTAGACGTTGGAGTTGCTGATTCACTGGAATTGATATTTAATGTTGCATTGTTACTGTTTTCTATAACTGCGCGTCTTTTCCTCTTTTTACCAGAAATTCCCTGAATACTGGGTACCAGATTAATGGAGCTCTGAGACACAGAGAACAAGCTTTGCGTACTGAAAGCCTGGTGACTTTGAGAGACAGTTGTAGCAATGCTAATCATGCTTAGAGGTAGCATTTCCGTGTGTTTCGACTGAGTCTCTGCTAAAGTAGCAGCTGCGATGTTCTGTGTTTGATTGGTATACAACGCAGAGGGAGTTGAATTAACCGCTATAGTAATCCAGCAGGGGTAAAGTGAGCTAAAAACAATGAATGGTTCAACGACTGTAACTTGTGAAGGGTAAATTGACTGATCAGTAATGCTTGCTACTACTGGCTGAGATGAGATACGACCAGCAGCAATACTAGAACCAACAGGTACAGACAATGTTGTCACTCTAGATCGAATGGAGGAGCCACCAATCGCTTCTGTTCCCAAAGCTGGGGTGCGAATATTTGACGACGGGCTGAATGTAGTGATAGAATCTACTAGCACAGAAGATCTATAGATAGTGGCTGTTGCTGTAGTTAAACGTGACAGAGACAAGGAGCTGGCGGTTTGTGTTGAAGCTACCCCAGAGGAAAGGACCAGCGATGCACTACTAGCGCCAGCATTCACAATTGATGCAGTTCCATTTGCTGTATTGTTCGTGTGGATGATTGCGGCAGTTGTTTGAGCACTAGGTGTTGGTTGTAATACTTGGGACGGTATTATAGTCGATATCACAAAAGCGCTTTGTAACGGGCCAGATGAAAACTTTGATGCAGATAACACTGGTTGGCTTGCAGATAATTTTGGCGTGTAGACAACACTAGAAGATCCATGCTCAACACCATAACTTGACCTTGTTCCAGTGATAATACTATTAGTAGCCGAGGATACTGATTCATTCAGCCTTATGCTTGGGGTAGATTGGGAACTATGTCGAGTTTGACTGACGATGATCGTGTCTTTGATGGCAGAAGATATTGTGGAATTCTCAACTGATAAAGAATTTACAGCTGGAGTTGGCGATCTGTATAGTATAGTTGTTTCTTGGACGTGTGTGCTGCTCACTTGTGAATCAAAAACGGCTTTACTTTGAATTGAAGGCAGAATCGACGATTGAGAAACAATAACTGGCGTGCTTATTTGTTGTACCTTACTGTAGTTTGAAATCGACATCTCTGGTTTTGATGACACTGTAGCTGAAAGAATCACACTGCTTACAGTGCTTGTATTACTGCCACGTCCAATTATTGTTGTCATCTCCCTCAAGGTAGGTGAGCTTGGCAGAGGAAGTGTCCCGAAGGTAGTACTCAGCGTAATATTTAATGTCTTACTGACTTGGAGATCTGATGCCAGGGATGAAATAACTTTTGACACCACGCTAGGTTGGCTGAAGATACTTTCTGTACCAAATGCTGCACTGTTATTCATGTTACTCACTGAAAATGCGGTTTTATACGACGCTGATGAGCTGGTGTTCAAAGCATAGATTGAAGTGGTACTGTCAAATGACGTAGAGGCGTTTAAGCTGCCAGGGCCGCTGAGCAAAGAACTTGTTGAGATATCAGCAACGCTTGAAGAAGGCAGTAGTAACGGCAAGCTAGATTCAGTTGTGGACGGTAGTGGCACTAACACAGAAGCTTTCGCATGATATGACGATGTCACCGCTACAGGAATGGAGCTGTGTGAAGCTGACAAACTAGCAACAGTCATTCTTGTTGGCGATTGCTGGTTGTTTGTTTTGGTTGCAACGGTGTTATTTGTTTCTAAAATGGGAGTCTGTGAGAAACTAGTGCTAATGGTTGTAAGAGAAGGAATTGGTTCTGTACCTATCACGATTTGCGAAGTGTTTTGAGTTGAAACGGTGACAGATAAAGGTAAACTGTAGGCAAAACTGGAAGACGACGAATTCGGATTTGTTGAGGCAGTGGGTACTCCAAGGGACGATGTGGTAAAAGTGGTAGTTTTCACCGATGCTGCAATAGAGCTCGATATTGCAGTAGCGTTTGGTGACATAATTTGATTCGTCCTCTTTACCATCAAAGTTAAGCTTGTTGATGAGATTTGAATTTGGCTGGAATTAAGTGTGGTTGACACAGCAGAAACTGTTGCTTCAGGAAGAGATGTGTTTGAGGGTGATCCAATAGTGCTTGATACAAATTGAGAGACATTGTCGCTTTTCAAAGTTGTAAAAAATTGTGAGCTAGCTGAATGAGCTAACGCTAGTGGACTAGTATTATAAAAAGCAGCACTAGAAAAACTATTTAGTGAATTGTCTTGAAAAGTCGAACTTGAAGTGTTCACATTATTAAATGAAGTCTGTAAGCTGGATGTATCCAAAACATTGACTGCAGCAGTGGATGTAGCTGTTACTAAAGATTGTGAATAGCTAGCTGTTTCATTATATATACTGCTCACAGATATGAATGCTGAATCAGCCAGTGGTGGAATGGATGGATTCAGCAAATTACTCTGTGCTTCAATTGTTATGCAGAGAGCAAGGATACCTGTTAAGAAGCAAAATTATGATTTGATAATGGCATGTAACAATTTCACAAAAAGTGATATCAAGTATTGTTTGTATTGATACAGGAATAATTTCAGGGTAAGATGCTTGGCAAAAAATAGGGAAGAGCAATCCATAGCAAACCTTATCCTAAACCATAGCAAAGCATATGAAGAAAACAATTTATGATGTGCCTGAGCTGTTTTTCACTGTTTTTACCAAATATGCTTATCAATATGTATATTTGGTAAAAACAGTGAAATACAGCTCTAAAACTTAAAAAAAGCCACTAAAGTTCAATGCAACCTAGATTAGCAAAGCTGTGGCTAGAATCTGTTTAATAACATATGCAGCAGCCCATAAACCAAAACGTGGCATTTCAAACCAAATTTTAACTCAATTATATGATTGTTCAATGATGGTTAAGCAAACAATTAGAATGGTCAGAAAAGGCTACTGAATTCATCAAGATATTTTATGTAAGTTTTGAAAGCTGGATAGGTGGTTTTTCTATCTTTCAGAAAGGCTATTTTTTCGCCCAAGATCATAAAACCAAGATTCTACCAATTTTATCTGCAAAGCATTGTATTGACTTAACACTGTCTGAAATGCAAATTATAAGGAAATGCCCCCTTCTGAAAATGCCATTACATAAGGTGAACAGTTGGGTGATTATCTGCATTATAATGTCTGTGTTATTATCTACATTTGGAATTCAATTATAATACAAAAAGGAACTGTCTTTGAACATTTTAGATTTCAACAAATATAGACTTAACATGATAGGATTGGCATTTCACTTTTGCAAAATCTATTGTACTAATTAACCACTTTTTTAAATATGCATTTTCTTTAGATTTCTTTACAATAAATTAAAACTTGATAATCAATATTCATAACTAACTGCTCAAATATTTTCTATTTTGTGACCAGCCACTATCCAATTACTTCTGCATTTGTAAACCACAAGAACAGTTAACAAAGCTGATAATAAAAATGAAGATGCTATCATTTGGTATCTGCTCTAACAATAGTTTTTATCTTGAAATTTGGCTGTCTCCCCAAGAATAAGGTAGATTGAAAGAAACAGGATCAGGAGTCAATGGATTTACATTGACTTACAATTTATATTATTTCCTACTGAACAAAAAATTTACATTAACTAGAACAGGAAGAATTAAAAGTTTTCAAAATTATATTATTCCCAAATATTAAAATCTGCAGTGGCCTTTTATTGTTCTGAACAACTTTCATTCAAAAATGCCTTTGGCAACTACATCACAAGCACCAAGGTTTAAGGAAGATCAAGCTTCAAGCTAGTATTCTCAAATTGCTAATAAAATACATTGTTGCTCAAGTTGTTATATCATGCAAGTTTCAGGAAACTGAATAAGAATTTCTGTCTAAGCAAAAATAACTTGTCATTATTTTTGTGCTTGTCTAAGCAAAAATGGACTACAAAAATATTCATTGCGTTTGGGAGAAAATATATCCATAAATAATTAAGTCAAGGTAAAAACTCTCTTGGAATCAAAATATGCAATGCTATCAAATCAAATTTAATGCATAGGTAGTCAGTAGTTTTCTGCAGCCATAATGAGCTTTTAGGTGGTATTGTTGTTTTGTGTTTTATCAAATCTAGATTTTGTACAGTAAAGATAGGTTGGAATGATATCTGAATACAAATTATGATTAATTGTGGACTGATAATTTTATTACTTGTTGCTGACATTTTAGATCCAAACACATAACTTAGAGTGCATTTATTTAAGGTGTAAAATGTGTTACAAACAGCAAAACAGTGTGAAAGGTGAAAGCAAACTCTGAAAAATTCTTCTTGAAAAAGACAGTCCCCCTTACATTGTCTAGACGCAAAATATCTTGCATTAAACATATCTGGGACTGTCAGACAAACTGATGCTTCGATTTAGTAGCTGTCTGATCTTAGCTGAGACACAATAAGAAGGTTTAATCGACTAAAACATTAAAATATTTATGATAATCTTTTTAAACGATGCTTCGTCAAAAATCTAACCATTTCAAAAAGCAAATAACGGAATTATGCTCTTTTGCCTGTAATGTGCTAAAGTCTCATGTGCTGATCAGACTTAACATTTTCCTTAAAGAGTTTGTTTTAAGAGCGAGCTGTTTTAATGTACTCAAAGAAAGAACTATTGCAGCAAATGAGGGAAAGGTGAGAACTGACTGATCACAGATTGATCCATATTGCGGGCGGTGCACGATAACTTGCTAGGGCTTGCTAGAATTCAATGCATGCTGATGGTAAAATCACCCTGCAAACCTCATTAATCAAAGATAAATGAAAAAATCTCAAACTGAACGAAGAGAACGAAATAAAATATTTCAATTAGTAAAGACAAAATATACACATACCAAGCAGAGTAACCATCTTGAGAAAATTGGTCGTGATTTGAAACCGAAGTAGAAATATTTCAGCAATCATCTTGACAAATAATCGGCCATGTGCTTCAGTAATCTCCTACAATTCATGACAGCTAATTCTTAGGAAGGACTAGTTGTCCGCAGGACACCTGCCCACTTTGCTAACCTTAGAGCCCCTTTCCAAACATATGGGCCTAAATGCACTGCGCGTGAGTCATGTCGATAACCCGACAGCGAGAAGTGTTCTTGATAGTATCCGATTGTATTTCAGCAGTTGTTCCAGTATCAAATAGGTAAATATTCCTGAAAGTAGTGTAGCTGTCTCTCGTTCACGAATTCTGATGCATCGTTTCATTAGCTGGTTTCAAACGGCTAGTTCCTTGTTGCCATGGTTTTCAACATTGTTTTTGATTGTTCGAACATTAATTCAGCAAACAGGAAAGCGTTATTTACTCGCGAGTTACGAGGCTACTGGGAAACGAGGCGGGCTTGTGCTCATTCCGAACTTCGTAAATAAATTTTTAGCATGAGAACGACAACATTTTTAATAATAATAATAATAATAAAATAACTAGAAATAGCTCTTGCTAGTACTGCCCGCAAACAATTAGTTCCTTGATAATGATTGTTTTGAAAATTCAGGTCAGGATATTCGAAGAAGACACCATCTTGGGTTTTCACAATTTTATAAAAACAGCTGCTCTAGTTGATGCTAAACTATTCTTTTTATCAAGAATTTTTAGCGTTCAGTTTGCCTTTGATTTAAGTCCAACGCCCTTTTGAAAATCATGAAAGTTTTTCAAGGGTTTGACATTTATTTTTCGATAGTCACGCCTATCATAACTTTTGCTCGTATGGTCTCGAGTTTTTGGGAGAAAGGTGTGGCATTCGACTGGTTTTGATTCCCAAAACTTCGAATCAAAACTTCCATCCATTGCGGAGAACCGAGCTGTGATGCAGCACCGTTTTCGTGCCAAAAAAACCGAAGGCCTTTAACAGAGTCTTGGCAGAGCAACGCTCCGAAGATAATTCCCCTCCGCACAAAGAGGTGGCGGTTAACGACCTTCTCGACAAAGCCGATTGATTGACAATGAAATTGATTGACAGTTGTCATGGCAGCAGAAAAGTGACAAAATCTGCTGACAAAGTGCTGACAACATGAACTGAAGCTTCCATATGCTACTTATACGCGGGGCAGACTATAAGCCCTTCACTCGCGCGCTATCGCGCGCGAGTTGCGGGCAATAAAATCGAATATTTTAACAGGATAACCTATCAGTACAATATGTACTGTTATCATTAGGGTCCTGAGTAAATTTTAGTAAATTTTAGTAGTAAATTTTAGAAGTATCATCAAAAGAAACATAGCTAAACAGCATCAAACTGCCCTGAAAATAATTGCGAAATGCAATAAGATCTTGTCACATGTAGAATCAACCTTTCATAAAATTTATTTTCTTTGATGAAATAAACCGGCTGATTAGGAAAGATCGCTAAAACTCGATTAAATACTTTGGAACCACACGTTTCCCTTCTTTGTTGCTCGCGTGCCTATTAAGCGTTCATCGTTGTGGCATGTTCTGAAGATGTTTTTAAACCTTCACCTCGTATAAGCAAAGATTATTTTGCAAAAACTAAGCAGAAAATCCCACGGTTCACAACTTACTTTTTCTTTTCTTTTAATTTTAACGCTTTTTTTAATTTTTCTTGAAATCAAAAAATTACTAAGCTTTTTCACAATGGTAAATAACGAAAGTGGGGCTCAAGGAATGAAATGGAAAGTTTTGAAACATTTTCTGATGTAAAATATGCCCACTAATATTTTGCATTAGCTAATTAGCATGTATAGGATTCTCTATTATATTCAATTCAACCGATATCATCTGGTGGTGCTGCATAAATGGAAAGTGCCATAAGCTGGTCCCTAGAAAACAAATTTGAATATTTAATGACACAAAGAAAAGCAAGTTAAAAGCTCATCAAAAAGCAATTTAATCTATTTTAAGTGCAACAGTTTTGAGGGAACTTGACAACAAGTTGTCGTTCCTTGTAACTTGGTGACTTGGTGACTTTTGTTTATAGAGCCTAGACCCCTACATTTACTGAACGCGGAAGAAATGGCCTAGGCATAGCCCGACTCAGCCGACTGTTCATTGCCCGAGTAAACAAAAATATGCAATTAAAATTTCCGAAAAGACGAGATTTTTGGACATGGGAGGAACTGAGGTACCCTAGTAGATAATTTTATTACTTTGGAATCTTTTATCGACCACAGTCGCCTTAAATTTTTCTCATTTTCCAATCTTTTTATTTGAAATCAAATCGTTCTTTTTTCAAAATGATTATCTAAATTGTACCACCAACGTTGAGTGGTTATGCTCGATTTTGTAATAGGCGAATGAAACTTTTTTGCTTCCTTACTATTTCATTATTTGAAAACTCAATGGAAAGATAGAAAAGGAAACAGAAGAGCCAAGTTGAAAACAGTAGAGTTCAAAACATAGAGTTATGTTGAGCTCTAAACTTGTTTTGTTGGAAAAACTTCCAATGGTATTATCATTAGTAGGCTCCAAATAAAGCTAGTATTATTGCCCATTATGCAAGTATCATACATTGTTCTCCTATTATACTAAATCTTGTTACTTCTTTTTTAGCTGCTTGTCAAGTACCCTTGGTGTAAGTATCCTACAAGAAATGTTTTTTTGCACCTGATCATGAAGGCACCAGAATCTGAAAAAAATTGTTTTCCAAATCTGTTTATAATGAAGGTTAAAAATAATGATGATTTGTATTTTTAGTTTCAAAGGGATTTATTTGCCAAGAATGTTGCAAAAGAGAAGTCAAAAGAATGCACAAGTGGGATGCATCCCAAGGTATTTATATAAAGTTTAATTCCAATTTGAATCAAAATTAAGATTAACAAAAGTTTTAAAGGTGATCATGAATGAATTTTGATTTGCTTTCTAGGATATCAATGAGATGTTTGAATTGAAGGTACTAAGTCCTGACTTGCACAGGACCTTCAACATGCATGATGACACATACAACACCAAAGTGGTGCAAAAGTCAATAGATTTGCTGAGCAACAGATTCTTGACGTAAGATTTTAGTATAGTATTTGCCCTTTTTCATTAAAGCAAGCAGACAGTCATTATGATAATCATTACTACTTACAATGATACTTTTAATGATTAAGATTAAGGTTAAGATTTAAATTCCCCCCCCCCAGATAAAATGTTTTTACAAAAATTTAAGATTTTGTCTGTAAACTTAATTTAGGATTTGGTTTTCTCTTGTGCTCAAAAGGTACAAGATGGATTGTAAAAAAGCTGCTGCTACATTTCTAACCAATTGTAAGGTTTTTGTCATATCTTTTGACATCATATTATTACTTATTTCAATCAAATTTGTTTGTTGTTTTAGTTGAAATTATCGCTCCCTCACACCAAAATTTATCAATTTTCTCCTCTGAACCTCTGTGTTATTTTCTTCCTAAAGTAGCATGTTTCTTCTTTTCTGAAAGCCTTTGCCATAAACAAACGGAATGGCAATGTATCTTTGACAGAGAGGGGCAATCACATTGAAGCTGCTGACACCAAAGTTCATTCTTTTTACCCCCTATTTGAAAATAACAAAACCTTTGAGGTGAACGCCAGGGTTGTACTACTACTACTGAGATGGCACATGCAGTTAATACTGTACGGCACATCTCACAATGCCACACCAGCTGTTTCTATCCTGTGTCAGTTCAGATAATCTATTTAATGTTTGCGCTTCCTTTGAGAAATCCAGTTTAATTCTGTTGCTGGCCAAATCTTGCCTTACTGTCTGCATCCAGGTCGTCTTTGAACTTCCTTGCGGCTGTTTTACTTTCCTGAGATATTCTTCAAGGGGTTTCCTTGCTGGTGTTTCTGGATGAAAGCACATGAGATGTCCTAATCATGTCAGTCTCCTTTCTTTTATTATTTCACCCCATGGCACTTTGTTCTGGCATAGGGCTTGTTGTTGGTAATATTTATTTGCCAGTTAATTCCTAGCATCTTTCTTAGATGTTATTCAGAGTTATAACACATTGTAAATAAGTGAGCATCCTTTAAATCCATGACCCAGAACTCCATCTAACAAAACTTTTCTTAAGTAGGCACATGCTCCTGGTGGAGGAGAGTTTAGGATGAAACAGCCCCTCACATAGTTTACTTTCATTCGACCTTTTACATTTGATTTTAGATTTCAGCAAATAAAAGAGTCTCGAATGGCGTTCCAGTTTTATGAACACATGGATAATGCAGGTCTCGTTGTTAGCGAGCATGTCATACTAAGGACCTTGAAAATGTGCGGAAGAGCAGTTTCTCCAGCCAAATTAATGCAGCATGTAAGTAGTGTGATATTTTTAGACACATTGTAATTTATTACAAAATTTTCTACAGCTGAAAGCATACAAACGATTTTTTAGATTCAAAGTCACACATCTCAATGATAATACTGTTACTTAAATTGCTCTTTTTAACACATAAAGCCACTTAAGAAAGAAATGATTCCCTTTTTTCAAACATAACTTTATTTTTTAAATAATTCTATGTTCTTCCTATACCATATTTAATTCGTCTCAATTCTTTCTATATAAAGATAATTCTCTCTGGGCCTTTATTTTTTAAAACGTTTATGATGAATTTTTTAGTTTGCTATTACTGTATGGGTAATTATCAATCTTGGTTTTTAAGGCACCAAAACGTTTGTGTCTTGTTGCTTACGAAAACCAGTATTCTGTCAAAACAATAAATCAAGCTAGCCAACTCACTGACAACAAGTTTTTCCCGCTCTTCCTGGCAGGTAATTTCAATCCTGTTGCTTGTATCTAAATTCTATTGGACAAATACTTTTTTCTGTAGTTGAAGCATATGGACCGCCTTGTTCCAGATCGTCTCATGTTCTACGAGTTCTTGGATTTACTTCTGATGTAAGTCATTTTTATATTGTTTTAAACTCCTATCTCTGACCATTTTGTTTTTCAATCACCAGTTGGACGACGGTGGTTAATTGTTTTAATATTACATGAGCTGTGTAATTATTGAAGTCGAAGCTGTAAAATATGTGTGGTAATCCTACAAAAAGTAGTGTTTAGGAGCTGACGATAATCTAAGCCAACAAACACGGAATTTGCATCAGAGTTTTCTACAAATTCACTGTCCCTTCTTGTAGATGTGAAAAAATTTCAGCTGATAGAATGAAACGTTTAAGAAGTTTAGAAGAAGGGAAGATTGGCAAAAATGACCAGAGCTTGTATGAGGTATTGGTGTACTGTATAAAATTCGTTGCTTTAGTTGCTTTATTTGTAACAGTTTTTATATATATTTTTAATTCAGATACTTTTTTTTGGCTATTGAATTATTCAATTTATTTTGAATCGTGATTAGAAACTGACACAATTGTATCTTTGCTCGAGTTATCCTAATTTTGTTCATTCAAGTTTGATTATTGACTATTAAACGTGCTTGTCTTGGCAGCTCAAAGACTTTCGAGAACTGCTTCTTACAGAGGACGAGAAATCTGCGGAGAGACTGAACCAGGCTTATAAGGTTTGAAATGAATAAATTTAAAGGTTGTTGAAGCTTCTCTGTAAAACGTATCGTGTAGGCATGACAGAAAGCCTTGTCCCCACATGTTGAAAGAAGTCAACAGAAATGTGACTGCCGGACGACCCCTTGTCCTCTCTACTGTTTCTACCCCATGTTAATGTTCATCCTATATTTTCGTATTTTTCAAAAAATTCAAGAATTCTTTTATTACAACTTAATTGTTGCGGTAATTATTTTGTGTATACTTCCTGATCCTAGCATTGCTAAATTTTCCCATTCTTATATGCATTTTTAATGAAATAGTCTTTTTTCGACAGTTTAGTCTGGAAAAGATACCTATGAGAAAATCGAAAGAAAGTAGTGATATTAATGATGAAAAGCCATGGCTTGTTCCTCCAATAGTTCCCCATGAAGTCAGAGAAAAAATGGTATCTAAATAAAATTATTACTGTGTCGTTTATCTATAATATTCATTTTTAACTATTAATGGACAGCCACGCTAGTTTTAAGCATGAAAGTTTCCGGTTTAGCGACGAGGCAGTTGGGCGGTCTTAGGCGTTTCCATTGGCCTTTTTCTATGTTGAATCTTTAAGAAAGAGATTTCAAAGAGAACGATAATGAATTTTTTCTTGGGCAAACCCCTAACCTTCCTTTTTTTCTTCATTCACCTCTTCAAAGATTATTTAATGCCCTTTTAGTGATTATGTATGCTTTCGTAGATGGTTGAGAGCATTATCTCTTCCGGGGGACTCTAACATATTTTGTAGCCATTAAATTTTATTTTTCTCGTTTAACTTGGCCACATTCCTTGCCTAAGCTAGTAAATAAAAGTTGATAGCCCTGTTAAGCAATATTCAAGGAAAGACAGCTGTACTAAGAGAGTTTTCAGTAGCCCATAGGCCCCTCACATTTTTAATAATACTTATTATTATGTTTTTGTTTTAATAAATCTGTAAGTAAATGTTTAGAAGCAAGTTACTTCAGGAAAATTCTCCTGGCATTCATTTCTAGACTGGCTTGTGTTTCTTTTTAGGGTAAAATCAACAAGAAACACAGAGAGCTCCTGACTAAAACACTGGCTCTTTCGAATAATGAGGTATCATTAAATAATAGTTAAGAAGATTTTGCGTTTGAACCATAAATGTAGAGTACAAATCCCCCACTTTTCAGAAACAGTGGTAGAGTACCTACTTTCAGCGCACATAAGGTGCCACTTTTTTGACTACATGTGCCCCTTTCCCCCCTCCCCGCTTTTGAAATGCTTCCTAAGTCTATGGTTTGTCCAACTAATCCATGATTGCTTGAAACAAAGGGTACTGTTGAGCCCATTGACTGCTATTTCTAATAGTGATGGCATCAGAACCTAAAACTTGGCTAGATAGATTCAAAAGTATTTACTCATAGCTGTTACACTTTTAGGTGCTGGCTAAAGGGACATTTCCTTCATGTAACTGTGATAAACCGGATTTGATTCCAAACAAGGTAGTGAAATCAGTACTTTCCAGTTACTTATAATTTTCATTGAATTAATCATTGCAGTATGAATGCGTACTTCTGAATGTTTTTTTTACAAAGGAAGATTGCACCAAAGGATGCATGCGTTGTTATATAAGCGTGAAAAGGGCGCTAGGGACGAAGGTGACTAGTGAAAAATTATTAAGATTTACAGCAAAGTGGGCAAAAAGCACCATACTCGGGCAAAAGTTTTGGAAAAATGATGGACCAGCACCCCCGATGTTTTGGCGCTTTTGGACCTATGTGTTGGTTTGTAACATGCCTTAAAGATTTCCATAAAGGCAAAACCTGATTCAGTGCTTTAACCGTTGCTCAACCTCACCTCAGAATATGGTTAGATTAATAAAATGGGTAATACCTTAGGCTATTGCATAATAAACTCAATTCCTATCGAATTGCAATTCTTGGATCTTTGACTTTTTAGGAAGTGAGGCCAGGAAGTGTTTTTGACAATGATCCAGGTTTGACTACAATTCAATCCATTGCTTATTTCGAAATCATGTAACTTGATATTAAGGCTCGCCGCGAAAGGGGCAAGGAGCAGACTCCCAGGTCCTGAGCTGAGAGGGACACGAAATGGTAAAGCAATGTCCTAACAATGATAAAAGTTATAACAAACATAGTCTTAATGACGTCATTACGTGCCTTATCTTTCTTTTTTTGCCCCAGGCCCCAGAAAAGTTCTCGGTGGTTCTGTTGCTATTTAAAGAGAACTAATGTTTCTTTTGCAAGGCAAACAGAAAAAGTTTAAAATACCAGACATTTTATGATCCCTTCCAACTGAGGGGCCTATCGAAGAGTGATTCTATGTGTAATGCAAGGTCATTGCTCAGTTTACGTCAATTTAAATTAACTATGAAACTCAACCTTGTTTTTTAGATCAAATTTTTGCTGGTAGACCAACTACTAGTTCCGTCTGTGAAGTGCCCGCAGTGGACAGTTTTACAGATCATTTTAAGCTACGGGGAACTCCTGTTGTTACAGAAGAGGCAAATTTAGTCTTTTTCACTGCTTTAAAAAAGCCTTTCTGAAATACGATTTGTTATTTAATTCAAAATATTTATCATTTGGTTCTAGTTCTATGTTAATTTCATTTTAATTCTGCTTGTCTTTTTCTGTGAGCCTTCGCAGATCATTTCACAAATGCTCAGGGAATCGTTTTAAGGGTGCGAAAAGGTGGTATACGATGAAGCCACCTTCCTTGCCAAAATAGTTCAAGCACCCAAAACTCCTAGAATGAATTCAGACAATACATGGCTAGAATTGCAATCTTGTAAATTTGCAGTAATCTGAAGGTTTTATTGGATTGGATTGGATTGGATTGGATTTGATTTGATTAGATTGAATTGGATTAGATTGGATTATATTGGATTAAAATTGGATTTATTGTTTTCCTTTTGTATTTTCATGTGATAAATCAATATCATTTTTTAGGATATCAGCTCAACACGTAAAGCCATCGAAGAGGTACGATGGAATATCGCTACGCAGGTAACGTTGATATTGATATTCATAGCTTCTAGGGGTCAAAGTTTATAACAAATCATTAAGAAAGGGGCTAAGGAAGTGGGTATTTGGGGCCTGACCATCTCAGAAATTTCTAGAGTTTACCCAGGTAAGGAGGATATGCAGAAACCGCGTCGCCCAAGCCCTCTTGTATGGAGAGTTCTAAAGAAAAGATGACCGGCTTTAAGAAATTGCGTTCTTTATTCCAAATCTTCATTCCTGAGAGATTCAAATTATGTTCAAAGTATGGTAAGACTGTGTCTCGAATTCAAGTGGTGAAAACTGTACCATATTGATTGAATTACTTGGTGGTGTCAAACTAATCAAGGTGATTCCAGCAATGGGTGTGGTTGAAATGTTTTTTGCCACGCCCAGAGTAGGGTCCGTTTCGTATTGAGTAAATGAGAAAACGAACCCCGGTTGTAAATTGTGAAAATTTCTTTCAGCAATTTTTTTTCTTCAGGGCGAAAGAATGCGGCGGAAGCGAGAACAGACGCAGAAACGACCAAGGCTTTACACTGAGAGAAGAAATACGGCAAGAGGCAAGAAGATATTATTGAATCAGATTAAACTGAATGTGTTGAACTTTTTACCATCTTTTGAACTTTAAAACTTTGTATCACGTGACAGTAAGCTATTCTTAGCGAAATATTGAAGTCAGTATGATCAACAGTTGATTATTCTCATTTCAGATAACACCAAGAAAACCACCGAGGTTTGGCTGTTTTCAAATTTATTTTTTGCTTGCTTTATCTCTAAATGATTTTCAATCAATTAATCACTCCAATCAACCATCACATTGCAAAATCAATCAATCAATCAATCAAACGTATAAAACAAAAGTTCAAGTGGACACAGCCAACATAGAAATTGTACAAACAATATCCCGGATTGATTAGTTAAAATTGTTGGGAAAAATAAAAAGATTCAAGTTTTTCAAGTTTTGTTCTAAACATGTGTGAACCGGCGGCCTTTCGGTATATAAACAGCGCCAAATGTTGAATCATTGATGAGAATTTATTTGTTTTTAAATCATCAAACGTATAATGGAACAGAAGTTCTGGAATCCAGTTTTTTGTGATAGTTAGAAAATGTGTTGCTTTGGTTATTCTTTAAACTAGTTACGTATCAAATATACTGAAATTTAATACTTAAAATTATACCAAATGTTGGTCTTTCTGCTATGATTTTGGAACCAGTGTACTGATGGCGCAGTAGCAGGGGGTGTGATGGAGCATAATAGAACTTCCAGAAATATAGCAACCTATTCCTCATTTTCAAACGTACTTAAGTTTACGTTATTTACCCGCGGGACAATCGCAGATTTCTCAGGGCCCTCAGGGCCATAAAACGTAAGATTTACTTGTTTTGTTTTTCAACCCCTTGGTCATATCAACAATGGCTCGGCAGCAGTTACTGTCATCTCTCTATATTAAGGTCTGGGGCTTGGTGGGAATTTTTATGGGCCGGGAGAAACAGGTTTTTAGGGGCACACCATGTTGATGCTGTTTTTTTCTTGTTGTCATCACTTGTAATATGGTGGAAATGAGTGTCCGGGAGGCAGCGTGGGGCCTTTCACTGGTTTTTTTTCTCACAAATCTGGTGTTGCAAAACGATAAAAGCTTAAAAGAAAGAAAAATCGAAGGAGTCCACATGAAAAGTTTTAAGGGGCCTACATTAAAATTTCCTTAGTCCTGGTGGGCCACAACGCCCCTGATTGAGGTTAATATAACATCATATTTCGTTTGTCAGGACCATGCTTCAAAGGACTTTCATTCGAAGGGTCACCCGACTAACAATGTACTACGACCTGTCAGGGCAAGGTTAGTGAATCTGTTTCTCCTTGATTATCGATGTAAAATGGTGCTAACTGTCCTCTTTATCATACCTTTTTAAATATGACCAATCTTTAAATAGATACTAAAGTGATTCTGAATATTATGAGTTGAGGCTGTGCAATAAAAATCTGCATCAAAACTACCAATTTCGATAGCAACTGCCATTCTACTTTGTCTTGCTCACAAGCTCGTTTTTCCTGGTTTATCAATTGCCATGAATTTATGGTTTGAAGGAACCCCTCTTTAGAACAAATAACGTTGCGGTTTCAAAGTTTAGAAGTTATAGAATTAGGGCATTGTGGGGCTTGTTACTTATTCGGAAGAAATTTTCTTTTTAGGATTAAGAAATTATCTTTGACGATGAAAAGTGATGAGGGTCATCAGGAATCAAAAGTCAACCCTGGCAGGAACCAAAAGCCATCAAGCGCCGAGAGTACTTCTAATGGAGAAAACAACAACATTTCCTTAGATGAAAGACTGAAACAAATTGATCAGCTTGTAAACAGAGTTTGCCAGAGATAGAACAAATAATTCATTGATAATCGATGGGTTTTAAAGGTTATTCTAGCCGTGAAAAGAAATGGCAGCAAAAAAATCAGATGGGCAGCAATAAATGAGAGCTGCGGAGGCGAAGGAAAGCCTTTTCCTATCTTCCCTCTCATTCGCCTGCGCAGCTTCCCTTTTTTGCTATCTTTCCCCTTTTTGCTGCTGGTAATTTTTGCGGCTCTGGTACCCAGGGTGCTAAACCGATGTAGTGGTTATTCCCGACATTAAAAATTGCGATCATCATCAATCACCTCATCAAATCATTATAATCATCATTAATCATCATCATCATAATCGGAAACATCAAAATCATCACCAACCGTTATTTTTGAAATTATCATCATTTTGAAATTAGCATTTTGATCATAATAATCATTACAATCATCAACCGTAATCATTTTTATCATTAAGCATCATGCCCATCGGTATCATCATCATGATCATCTCATCAAATCATTATAATCATCATCATCATAATCATAATCGGAAACATCAAAAGCATCATCATAGTCATCATCTGAATCAGCAAAAGCGTCACATCAAAACCATCAACATCAAATGTTACATTAAACAGCTTGAACATCTTAACCAATCCTATTAACATACTTGTGTATAATGACGGTGGAAAAGCATTTAGTGATCATAATCATAATCATTTCCATTAACATCAACCTTTTGTCACTGTATTGATTGTTTTCGAGTCTTTGCGTGTTTTCCTTTTGTAGCTAAAAAAGTAAATCTTATTCTGTCTCGCTATGGCGCTTTTGCTTCAAAAGTTTCTCACGGTACATCATAGCACATACATTTATTGCTTCAATTTTCTTGTCATTAAATCTTTGTTTTACCACTCAGTTTTAATCACGGGTTATAAAAGAATGGATTACAAAAAGACTTCGATTTCCGAATGGCTTGTCTTTGTATTTTTTCATGTTGGTTTTCATTAAAAAATTATCTTTACAAATTTGTTGCGTATCCCTAGAATTTATTGAATCCTCAATAAATCAACAGAATAGAATTGACAGCAAGTCGGGAAGAAGGTCGTACTTGAGTAAAATTTTTGGAAGCACCAAGACAATGGCCCCCCTTTCTATTGACTCGTGGCAAGCAACGTACCAGTGTACAGCGTATTTTACAATTTTGTCTCAAATAACAAACAAATGAATTTCAAAAGCCTGCGTTTCTCTGGTTGGGGGAGCAGAAGGCCTAGAAAGAGCAAGTTATCGATAGGATAATGAACGGGGGTAACTGCTCCTTGCTACCTTTCACGACTCGTCTTGTCAGACACTCTTGTTATGGGAACTTAAGAAAAAATGCCATATTCATTTGTGCTAAGTAGCTTGAACGATTTTTGAGGGATCTTTAGCAAGGGGGAGGTAAGTTCCCTTCCCCTAGATAAAAATTCCATTGGGACTTGCAGAATTATTGTCTCTCCCTCCAGTTACTTTCATCAGCCTTGCACTGTGGGAGTACGTTTCATTCTCTAATATTGTTACATGATAAAAAACACAGTAGCAAAGATTTTATCATTCTTCCTCAATCCTAAACAAAATTCAAAATCTGTGTCGCTCAAAACAGGTGGAAAGGTGCAACAGGGTGGACCCCGTTTTGCGGGCAGCTTCTAATTCTTTTGTAACTGTCTTTTAATTTGATGTTCTGTAGACATCTTGTAAAAGGGCTAACTGCTGTCACTAGAAATGTTTTAACAAGTTTTGAGAAATTTCAACATGAATAAGGCACTGCTTTCTTATTTTGATAATTACAAATGACCGATGTCAAGGGCACTTTTTTTAAAAGCAGCTTTGGGCTCCTTAGCTTTCTATCAACGGGCAAGAGGGGTAGCCACCAACCCCCACCCCCGTTGCGCCCCCTTCCAGCGTCCCTGGCTTAAAAATAAAATGATTTTAGATTTTTTGTTCAGTCAAAATGACACACGTTTAAAAATATTCAGACACGGCAAATATTAAAATCTTCTAATAAAAGTGTATTTGTCGCGAGGATTGTCTAGCTAAAACGCATTTGCGTATTTGCTTTAGTGTCTTTCCAATCAAATAAATTGTCCTTCGTAAATGGGAGAAACACAAGCGATTGCTAGGCCGTGGTAATTACCCTTTGAGTAAGAGGGTTGCATGGCAACGTGTGGGTACATCCCCTTCATGTTGCGATTCTCAGAAGAACAAGCGGGAGCAGGCCGCCTGTTTCCGTCTTACGGAACATTCGGGTTTAGAAATTTCGTCACTGCAATGAACTCGACTCAATAAAAATTGAGTCGAATGTCTTCCTCTAAACTAGAAACAGTGTTGTATGAATTTCAGATACCATAATGTCACAAACAAAGAGATAGGATCAAAGCACAGGATTGCTTTAGTGGGAAGCTTGTTGATGGCAGAAAGGGGGATTTCCCTAGTCGATTATGTCTGCCCACAAACAGGCCGAACAAACTTCTCGGAGATTCAAAACATATTGAAGCTCCCGTTAAATAGAAATTTCAGATTATTTCTACATAATTATAACACGAAGACTTTGTTATGTTTTAACAAGAGTGTAAAATGAAGTTCCATTTTGGCGATGTTATTCTCATTCTTGGAGTCTGATGATATCATTGATTTACGGTTATTAACGTTGCACAAGATTGCATCAGTTGTTTAGAAATGCTAATCTAATCATTGCAGTTATCTAAATTTGAGATACCAAGTCATAGGCAAGGGGACTTTTTTCTGGCGCAAGTCTTAACAAGCCTCAAGATTTGCGTTGCGCGGAGGGAAAAAACTTCTGCTCAGGGCTGATGTATCATTCCTCGCCACTCATCTGCATTCTGATTGGTTGGCTGTGCAGTAAATTCCAGGATAGAACAATGGCTCTTGAAAAGGATAAGCAGACATTATGAGTATAAGTATCAGTACGTATATCGATTTTAAACAGGTGGTAGCAAAATAAAAACATCAATATTGCAAGAAAGGAGCAATTTCGAAGCCGTTTAACAGCACAGGCACAGAGCACACACTACATTGGCCTTCAAGAATCATAACATGTAAGTTTTTAAACATGGTTGGTTTGTTATTTCCTTTGTTATTAAAACACCTGCTTTCAATTTAGACTTTCGCAGGTGTTTTGAGTATCGCACAATGATACAGGATTCAAAGCAAACATTCTTGTTGGTTTGATGCCATCTGCTACGAATACTGAAGGCCGAACCACACCGGAGCCTTCTGAATGTTTCATGTTCTTTGCCACCTAATGATATCAAAGAAGGATTTTTGGTTTTTATATAGCCTTCGAAGAGATTACTTATAAGAACGCTTTTCTATTTTCTAGAGGATAACACATCGTGTGAAATACACTCAAGGATTCAACGATCGTGTTCTCGTCTACCTTTTAAAGGTAAGCTTGATACAAATACTTTTATTCTTACAGCGGTTTCTATTCTTATCATCATATGTCGTGAAACACTTTGAATTAAAATTCATTATCTAAGTACCAGTGCCTTATCTAAGTACCAAATGGAAAGAAAGCGAGACCACGACTATCTAGATATTTGGCTGCCACACCCAGACAGTAGGCCAACCAAACTTTTTCAACATGCCAAGGGCATCCAGATCCAAGGTCCGAGCCCAGTCTAGATAACCCACGATACTTTTAGGTTGGGTATTTATTTAAACATTTGTGGGCCTGTGATTTTCTTTGTCTTCGGGGCTACGAAAATTTATTAGAATTATTGGGGCTCCCTGAGGGCGGCTTTCGATTTTGGGTCTCTGTCAAACTCATCTATCTCGACCGAGTCTATTTTTTTAGGTTTGCGATGAATTTGTCTTGGTCTACACTTTTTGGTTTGATTGACATTCCTCATTCCTCAATTCCAAAATTTTTGAATTCTGAGCGAAAAAGTATCCCAAAAGCAAATAAATGAACCACTAAACTTATGCTCAGTTTTCTATCGTTATATGTATTTTTAAAAAATTGGGCCTTGTTTCTTTCAACCTAAAGATATTCTCCCGTGTCTTGTAGTGTTCATTTGGGTTCGCTAGGAAAATCACAACGAGGCACGGTCAACGAGGCTTTGTAACCATGGTCAACCGCAAGCCTACCACTTTTAGCTTCGCATAGTTGTATCCATGGTATAATCCAACCAATTTTAGATGAATTATTACTTTACCATTCAACACATATACAAAATTTTAGTACCCTCTTGGTTACTGTTCCACCGCTTCAACAGCCCTAACATTCCACTTTCAGCAACAATGTTTTCCTGTACACCGAAATGTTGTTTGAGCCTAAAGTTTTAATATCGCAATGTGAAAAGTTCAAAAGAAACACACTAGTTGAGAACCACCTCAATGTGTCCCATCTGTGAAGAGGTGGGAATGCTTTGTTTATCTCAACTTCTTAACACAGGACAAGAATCGGTAAAGAGACCAGTTATTGTTATCTTATTCTTATTATCTTATGGCTTAATCGCCATTCCTGGTAATTTTTCACATGACCTCGGAACACCAAGCCCTTGCGTTCTCAACGAACGGCCATAAACAGAAATGAGCCCCTGTTCTGTTTGAAGTATTTTGTTTACAAATTGTTTCACAGCTATGTCCTCAAAATTTAAAATACAATGTAATTTTTCAACAATATTTTGGACAGAAGCCCTAAAAATGAATAAAGTTCCAGAAAAGCGTTTAGACTGTTAACATTATTCGTGCCATTGTTAGACCATGGTAGACCAAAGCTATCGCAATTTTCACTACTGCTGGTCCATTTATCTTCCTTTATGGATAAGTCTCCTTCATGAAGTTAACTCATCTGGGAAAGAGGCCAGAATGATTGGATATGACGTATTTACTTTCCCAAAAGATGTCTTAATTTTGCAGCAAACTTCAATTTGTATGAAGCAAACTCTAATCCTGCAATATCTGGGAATCACTAGCAGAATTTTTTTGGGGGGGGGGGATCTGCTACTCCCCTAGTAAGATATGACTTTGAAAAGGTATTTGTTAACCAGATATTCTCATCTTGGAACTATAGAAAAAGGTGTTAGAATAATCATCTGCTCCTGCTCTATCATTGACCGGGCTCTATATTCACAACTGCAAAGAGATTTGCGAAATTCATCATAGAAAAGAAGAATAAAGTAAAAGTTTGTACACGAGTAAAAGCCTATTGGCAAAACGCTAAAATGCTTAGTTCTTAGTTTCTCTCAGGCTAGCTGATCTGAGCAAAGAGTTTACAAAGGGTAGTTGAGTAAAACGGTGAAACTTAAATCGGTTGTGGTCTTTAAATTCTTTGTTTGGATTGGAGGACAATGCCCTGTAAAAGGCAAAACTCATTCAATCATTCCCCTTTTTACACTTAATTTCTGTCGTTGAAATACAACAAAATTACCAATAAAAATAATCTAAAAATTGTTTCAGCCTGTTTTACAGAATTTTCCCGCATTTTGAATTTTTCTGAAGTATTTTCCATTGACAAAGTGTTTCACAGATATAATAGCATTTATTTGATAGCCAAAGACTTTTACAAAGAGATTTACAAAAATTGGCATCCTTACTCATATTGCAGCCTTTCTCAGTGTTTCCAAGAAATTTGTCCAAGGTTGTCGTGTCTTGTCTTGCAAAAGTGTTTTCATTTCAGTTTCTGAAACGAGCCCAGGCAGGTCTTACTTGTTGGTTCACATTACAATAATTTGGATTTTTCAAGAACATTTGAAAGTATCTTAGCTGCACTGAAACGCTGATATAAGAAGGAGAGAATTTAAGGTTAAAGGGGTATTGTATTAGATAACATGATTCGATGAAGGCCTACTGAACATGGCAAAGCGTCCCGGAACAGTTAGCATATATCATAAATTAATATCATTATACCCTGGTTTGAATTTTCTTGCATTGTTTATATTCTTTCTCTCGTATCTTAAAATAGCCGTGAATTCACACTGGTTTTTACTTTAATATACACAATTCATCAGCAACAAAACTGGGATGTTCCCTTTCCTCCAGCTTTTGTTATCGCCACTTATATCGCTTTGCGAGCTTGCACAAAGGTGCAGAACATCGAAGCTGATAATACAATCTTTAGAATAGGTGTTTCGGAAGCATGGGCTGCCGCGTTTAGTGGCATATTGTGCACAGATTCGGATACGAGATCCTCTCTGTCCTGTTTTGTAATCCGAGCATAGCGCCAGTGTTAGCGCTGAGGCTTATAAAGCCTGTGTACTGACGATTAAGAATTTAATTCATTGACAACACGGCAACAATTTTACTGTCGTTCAGGCTCGGGCATGTTAACCAGTTAAATGACCCTTGGAACGATAGAAGGAAGTAGCTTCTATTGCAGCAAATGCGAAAGAACAGTCGTTCATAATTTGATAATATTTCTTGATCAAGTAAATACTGCCAGGATTCCAAATGTGGTGGCCTGCGAGGAGAACAGAACGCCAAATGAGCCACAGGTTTGGAGGTATTGAAAGAAACCACGTTATTTTTTGAGTCTCGTCGTATTAGAGGAAGTATTGTGATCTCGTTTTTGAGTAAGTTGATGTGAGAATGCAAGTTTTGTGTTGTTAATTTATAGTTAATACAAGCATATTTCGGTGTTGTTTCACAAATTTTTATTTTAATTTCAGGCAAAATGTTCAAAAATTTATTCGGGAAGAAGGGCGGTAAGCCAGAAGCAAAGCCACCAAGATCTCAAGGTATGAAAACATATGTTGTTAATAATTCCTTTAAGTAAAAATTTCTTTTTGGAGGAGTAGGTAACACTTGGATTTTGACCACCCTTGCCTTGAAGTAATTGCTAGAGACTTTAAGGTGTTGGCAACTTTTGAGTACTTATGGAGGGAAATTATATACTTTTCAGGCCAGTTACCTTATCATGATTTACTAATCTTACATCACCTAATTTTGAGAACAGTGTTCAACCACCCGTACCCTTCTCCCAAAATCCCAGAAATCATTTGTTACCACCAGAGCCATAGGTACTGGCTGTCAATAGCTAATTCCCTACCGCCCATCTCATCACATTCATAAGTTCAGACGGGTTGCGTATGTACTATTAAAGAGGGCGAGAATTCCTTTAAAGCGTGTTAGAACGTAACAGATCTTTGCAATCTCTCAGTTGCTTTTTCAGGATAATAATCGATAAGAAGAATTAATTGTTTAAATTAGAGAAAAATGAAAAACTTAGCAATGTTTGCTCATGTTTGATCTTGTATTAGTCTCAATGACAACGATCACTGTTAAGTCAGTTGTATACTTTAGGATGAAATGTTTCGATTTTGTGATGCTGGTATGAATAGCGGACATTGGCGTATTCCTTTTTACAAAGGGAGCAAATTTGAAGCGCAGCTAGCAAGGGAATGTAGGAGATGTGATAACCCCCGCCCCCATTTCTTCATAAGTTTGTCGTTAAATCCTCAGTTAGTTCATCACATCCCTGATTAGTCGGTAAAATCACTTATCCTTAGTTGAAATAGACCCTGAGTCCTTCTTAATCGATTTTCTTAGTTGGAAAATCTTGATGACCCACTCCCCCCACCCCCCCTTCTTAGTCTCAAATATCAAGGTACGCGTAGCAAAAAATTTCTTTAGATAATTAAAAATATCAGTAAAAGTCATTAAAAAGAATCTCCTGTTTACAATATAGAAATTATTCATTTGTTAAAGTCCATTTTACTTTCTTTCTAGCTAGCAAAAATCAAGATGAAAATATGTACACAACGATCCTCGCTAGCAAAAAGCAAGAAGACCTTGCTGAAGAAATATGCCGTCTTCTTGAACGTCAACGGGATGTCACTGTCGAAGAAAGGGGGAGGGTCATTTCAAATTCTAAGGACAAACAGGGATGCTCAAGCAAGCTCTTGGATTATATTAAACTTCAAAGGGTTACAGGTATTGTTATTCTGTCTTCAGAAGAACTCTGTAAACTTATTAAAGGTCAAGAAAACGTACCATTGCAGATAACTGGAGAGATGTGGACTTTGACTCGAGGATTCTCTCAGAGGCTTTTCAAAAAGACACTGATGTGAAAAAGAAAATTCTGATTGTTGTACCAAACGGCTCAGTTGACCATCTTTCATCTTTGCTCCGTGGAGTCGATGTTGTGAGTCTCGATACAAACGAAGATTCCTGGAGTAAAGTGATAGTGGCAAAGTTTAGAAAGAAGAACGAGCTTCGATCTTGAATGTCCTTTTTGTAAAGCGGATTCTGGGGGTCCAAATTCTGGCATTAGATCTGTCATGGACAAAACAAAGAGAAATCGCCGACATTGGTGATTGGTAACGAAAGAATTTAGACTTATATTTAGGGCTATGTTATTTCGTTTATGGAAATAGCTTTCTCTATTTGCGCAGATCTTTTACAAAGTAAATGTTTTTCTGTGCTTGAGTATTAGAAAATATCTTGGCCTACATTTGAGTGAAATATCCATTGTACTTCGCCTGTATCCTTGCTACAAGAGTGCATTTTTTTCGAATTGCATGCTCATCTTTCGACGTTTCATGTTCACGAGAAACCAGAAAGCGGTTTAGATATGCCACTTTTTTGTTTCTAGTGTCATTAGCATTAACTTTTCGTTATTTCTAAAAGTAGACTTAGGAGCTAAACGTAAGAGAGACAGGGATAAGAATCTCTATAGCCTCTTATCAGGATTATTTTGAGCGCTAATTAATAGCGCGGTATTAGGAAACGAGACTAAGCCGCAAGCATTTGTATAAAATGGAACATCGAACTGCTAGGACCAAATTGACAATAAGTGGCTAGGAAGTACTTTCGTTAAGCTATTTTTATCCCATTATAAGATACCTTGACTCCCAAGTTCACGCTAGTTTCAACGCATGCCTTTTGAAACATTGCAAAGCAATTATATCCGGAATATGCTTCATAATTACTGAAACATTTTCCAGTATATAAATTCGTGTTGTTTATATTTTATGATGCATTTTGCATGTCATCAATCCATTAGTTTGTGATAAGATGAAGGTCATAGGGCTCTTTATTCAAGTGTGTGACGTGATGGAGAGAATTTAAGCAGAATTGATAGAGTTTATTTAAATATTTTGTAGAATTTATATTGTATCTCCGTAGAAACTTTTTGTATCTAGCCATTAATCAGAGTTTTTAGTAAATGGAGATAAGAAAAGTAACATAGAAATTGACGTTTACGAATATTTTTGTGATCAATTTCAATTATCCTAACGCATTTTGTTAATGTTATTTTTTCATGCATTTCAACAATGAGTTTATAATCTTACATTAAGATTGAATTTTGCTTGTCTATTTTGCAATTTGATCTACAGAATGTATGTGCATTAAAAGCTATAAAGTAAATGGAGGTGTACCTTTTCTATTCAAAGCAGCAGACACGTTTTTCCCTCCACTTGATGAAGGCTGTTCCTCCGAGATCTTAAAGCTTAAAGCATCCGACTGTTCCTACTCATTATAAGATGCACTGAACTTTAAGAGGCGAATCAATTGGTATGGGAAATGCTTGCAAATCTTGTGCTACTATTTGATGTGCGGGAAAGTGGTCTCTTACAAAATAAGTTTTTCCGGATGGCTATCTACCTTCCATTTTTAAAACCAGGTTCTCTAGGATTGTCGATGTTTGCTAACAATCCTTATTTATCACGAAAAGTTTGTTGTGCATAATGTTTTCTCTTTAATTTGCAAAACACAACACCAGATACTACACTTTCGTCTGCTCAAAATGAAACGAGCAACAATGCTCATCGTTTGAAGCAATAAATATTTTATAAACATTGCAAATAGTCGTGGGCTCAAAATACATTCTTGTCTTACCCCTGCTTAAACGTTTCAGCAATTCAAGTTTCCTCTTCTGGTTTGAGCACACTTTAATGTGCGAATTCCAGAAGTTGTCAGAAATTTCTCTACTTCTGCTTGCATTTGCATATCTTCTGAAAAGGCCACGGTAAAGTCAATGCAGATAAAGATAATAGTGGCAGTCTGGAATACTACAGAAAATATGAAAAGCTAAATTCATAGAAGTAAAGGTCCGGAGGAAACAGGGAGAACGTGTACCAAGTGCCTTTTTGCTGCACAGGAAAATGCCCCTTCTGCCAACTCGTGTCCCATACCCCTTTGAAGACGAGAGTATTGCATGGGTTGCTTGGGACATGGTTTTTCAAACAGAATACGGAAAAAGCATCACTCTCGGGCCACAAGTATTCAAAGAAATCCAATTTGGGGGCGCTTGGGCTTTGTGGGTGCTGGGCAAACCCACTGGCAACGAAAATGTAGAACGAGGCTGTTCAAAAATGGGTCATTGCCGAAGTTATGAAATATAAATAGAGGAGCGAGTCAGGGTCACTGTCAAGAAGGCTACAGTCAGTTTTTGGGCAAGAATTTCGCTCTCTTTATTTCAACTTTAACAAGCTGTGTTTGGCCATGAATTTTCGCCAATGCTGCAAATGTCTGTCCTCTTCACAGCGACGATTTACTCTCGACACTGTGAGCTCAATTTGTCGTGTTCAGCAATGGCGATATTTCCAAACAGTCCGACCAACCTTCGCGTCAAATTCTGGGGATAGGATAATTGATTTCCCCGATATGGGCCCTACAATACCAGAGTACAAGAAAAAGGAAAACGAAGATTTGCAAAAGAAGCGAGCAAGACTGTTTTACCAGAGCAGGTATTGTTTCAGCCTACTCACTGTGTGTTTGTGTACAATTGTAGGAGGCATTTAATTTCATATCTATATAGTATATCAACTATTTATATTACATACATCATGCATGCATGCATGCATACATACATCATACATGTTTTAGTTGTTATAGCAGGTCAATAAGTGGCAGCGTGGATGCTGATGTGGACCTGCAGTACTACACTGCATTAACATGAAATAATAAAATTTAGATATGTGTACAGTACAGCATGATCCCGCTATTATCAGCTCTAGTGCATTTGACACTAAGTTGAACCAACTTTTTGAACTATATCCCACAAGTTTTGTGCAAACATCTGTTGCAAAGCAAATATCTTCTTTTTTAGGAAACGTGGAATGAGTGAAAATGGCTTGCTGTTGAGGTATGTAACTAGGAATTTTTATAATGTACTTAGTCTTTATGAAAAGCCTGGCCAGACTGGAAACTTCTTGCATCACTGCGCACCTGAAATCATACATTCTTATTTCATTATGATTAATAATGTTAGATGTTATTATCCAGTGCATTTGCATGGCCAATTTGCAGAACCGCACAGATGTGTGTGTTGGCAATATATTGCGGGCGTGCAACAAAGTTTCCAGTCCAGGAGCCTGGTATCAGTGAAACTGGTCTACAGCCGACTGTTTGAGGCCTCAGTGGTTTCTAAGCTGCAAACTTTTACTGCCACTCTGTGTGACGGCTTACACTCTGCCAATGCCTTAGCACTGCTTTGTGGTGTGGCTCTTGGATAATTTACTTAAATAGACTGTTGAATCACTTAAAACTCACTGCATACTTATTTTCCCTACAAATTTTTTGTTTATTTTGCAACTGCATGTACGAAGGTAGTGTCAGATCTAACAGTATATCAAATATCAAACTTTTATCTGACATATCAAATCAAACCTTTAATCATGACTCTATAGTATGTTTATAACTTATAGCTTTTCATTTTTTAATGTCAGCATCGTGTATTTTTTTCCCAGTACATTTGCTACCCTGCAACTCCATAAACTAGAAGAAAGGCTTCTCGATCAGTATGACAAATTAATCAATAAACCATCAAATGATTGGGAGATTTTCTATTGGATGACAGAAAAGAAACCCACACCTGATGAATATAACAATGAAATCATGAACATGTTAAAGAAGCATGCAAAAAATGAAAAAATGGAAATGCGTCATAAACAGCCAGACTTGGATGTAAAAACGACACCTATGGCATCAAAAGAGTAAATTTAGAGAGTGTTTATGTCGTGTTACACCTTGGAAATTCATTAATTGATAAACATTTTTTTATTTTATTTAAATGCTGAGTTTTGCAAGGACAAAGCTTTATCCACATCTTCTTTTCCACCACTTTGCTCTTGTTTTGTCGTTTGATCTTGTGTAAAATTTCAAAGCGTTAAAGGTCATATCCACTTAAAACCTCCCTGAAGGGTCATCTTTGGTTAAGACTTCCAACAAACAGTCATTGTCAGTAACTTACTTACAATCTGGGGTCACTCTATAAAGTTCTTCATGATGTCATCAAGAGAATGAAAGTGGGAGTTACTTTCAAGTTGAAAGTAATATTTCTCAAAAGAATTGACTGTAAAGCATGCTTGTAGATCTTATTACAAAATTCCTCCAAAATAGGGTTTCCAGATTTAATTTTTTACAACCTATGACGGCAGTTTAAGTAACAAGCCCTCATTTGACATATATCAACTCTGTATATATTCTTTCTTATTTGGGAAAACTATGTAACACTGTCACTTCCTACCTTGAAAAGTTTGTCTTTTGTTATCCATTAAAGTACCCTTTCTTTATTTCAATATTCATGATAAATTTCATTTACACCATAAGATTGGTGGTGCAAATAATTTCTTTTAAGAGAAAGGAAAATAAAAAAACAGCAAAATCAATTTTTATGAATTTAAAAAAGATAAATTTTCTATTCTCCACATTGATACCTCAAAAAATCAATCACTCTGGTATTAAACTTTTCTAGCAAATTCCTAACAGTAATATCACCATCAAGAAGATACTCTTGATTCAGTAGCACTAATTCAGCCTCATTGTCATTCACCTCTTTATCAATATATTGTGGCCTCATACCAACAACATGTTGTGCTAATCCAGTTGCAAGTGAAGTTATTTTTGGGTCTCCATTGTTATGCAGTACAACAAGGCCCAAATACTTGCCGAAATGCACTCCATCTATATGACCTGAATTGTTACCATGAGCATAGATGCCAATCAAATTTGTTTTTGATGTTGAAATTGTGACTGCCCGGTTAATGACAATATTTTCTCCTAGCTGAGAAATCACTGACACAATACTATCTTTAAGAAGTCCATTTTCAATTTGAACTTGATCAAGTTCATGGGGTGGTATAATTTCCCTAAGATGTGCATTATCCTCTCCAGCCAATGAGTTGATGAGGGCATTTTGCTGTAGCACTCTCTGTTTGAAATACAAAGCCCCTTTTACAATATCCATTGTCAGGTTTCTGAAAACTTCATTTCTTGAAACAAAGTCTGTCTCACAATTAACCTGTAAAAAGAAATACACTTGGTAGCTCCAAACATACTATTAGGTGCTAGTACTAATAGCATGGTGGTGTTATTCTGTTGGTCATGTTGAATAAATGGTGTTTTAAAAAACTGTTTTATTGATAGAAAATGTTTATTTACAGCTGTGTTTAACAAGAAGCTCTCCATAAGATGATTCTACATTTGTTAAAAAAGATGTCTAGGCACTAAGACTATGTATATGATCTCGTCTGATAATTTGCTGAAAAATACACAAGCCAATTAGTAAAATAGTAACTTGTTCTAGACCATGAAGTGACAAAAAATGATAATAAATTTCCCTATAACCAAAGTATCTTTATTGAATTAATTTATTGAGAAAAGAAACTCTTACTTCAACCATTGCAGCAATATTATCACGAACAACAGCACCAATGAGTCCATGACTTGTCTGTCTTCCTTTGACCTTTTCAGCTTTCTTCCAACCCTCTTTTTTGGACTGTTCTTCAAGCCATGCAAATGCTTTTGCAAAATCATTGCTACAGGTAACTAGAGCTGTTTGACATTTTGAAAATGGAAATCCTGTCTCCTTTCGTAATTTGGCCAAAAGTTCCTTGTTTGCTTTACCACTGCTGGATAATTGACAAGAAGAAACTCTGACAAGGGATCCTGTGAAAGAAAAATATTTTTTTGAGATACTTCCTAGATAGGCCTGCAAGTGACAATTTAACAATTTTATAGAGATTATTAAGGGTGAACTGTATGGTTTTGGTAGAGTATTAGTGGTTTCAGCAAGTTAGTCCTATCCTTCCAAAATCATAACTTGATTTAAAGATTCTGTGATAATAGCAATAATAATATATTTACAATCTGACATTCAATTAGCACATCCTATAACACACAAACCAATCTGATTCACAAAAGCTTTGTTGAAAAACCATGGTCTTAAACAAGAGTTTGCAAATCAAAATCCATACATGCCAAACAATTGCTGTATAAATTTATCTCTGTACAAATAAGAAGTTTCTCCAGGCAACACAAAATAAAGAGCTGCAAACACATTACTGACTTTAAATAAAATCAAATTTCACACATGCATATAAATTGTTTTTTATATGAGAAACATGTTTTAAGAACAACAACACTGGAAGGCTAATGAAGAAAAGAGAAAAAATATATTTTATCGAAAATAATAAACATAACCAAAGGCGAGCAAATAATAACATACATTCAACATTCTGTGTATTGCTTTCTATAGTTAGTTTAAAGAGTTCCATTACTTAAAAAAAACTCAAAGGCACTTTGTACCAATTAATTTTGATTTACACTTGAATTCATTACGTAATAATCTACATTACACTAAATATCAAAGAGCCTATTATTAATGTGAACAATAGACAGGCAGGATAAAGTGCCTTTAAGAATTATTTGAGACAGGAATTGCCAAAAATAAGCAAGGATGCTATTTGAATAAGGTGCTTATGATTCTTGATTGACTCATTTTAGGCACAAACTCTCCAAAGCTTTTAATTAATCGCTATACATTTTATACAAGGACCTTAGGTATCTAGTAATCAATTTCTGCAGGAACATCATTAATGAAAATCTAAAAAGGAAAATAATTATATATTAAGCAGTAACAGTTGGTCGCCAGGCTGGGCCTAAGGACTGCCTGAAAATGTTATGTAGCAACGTAACTTATCACGATTCATAAGAAAGATTCAAATTAAATATGCAGTAATTTCGCTCACTCAAGAACGTCAACGATTTCCTGCTTTCTTTAACGTCAACGATTTCCTGCTTTCTTTATGGAGCAGCATCTTTAAATTGTGGTTCGTGAAAAGAGGAATTGCTGTGCCAGCATCTGCACCTACACCGCCATGTGAGCCGTGTCTCGATTCCAATACAAATGAGAGGCAGAAACATGAGGTTGCCAAATCTACTTAATCGCAAGTTGTAGAAAATGGTTATGGGGCACCGAGAAGAGTAAGTTGTTGTTTGGTCGAAGTTTTCTAACAAGACATTATGGCTTATTTGCGATGTCTACAGAGTGTAAAAGCAATCTCAAAAGATGAAGAATCTGGTACTAAGCGTGTAAAACCAGCTGATCTTGACATCTATTTTGAGCCCAAGTCAGTTATACCATATTCTTCACTAGAGGAAAAACCTTATGCTTTCCAGAAATATGTATCTGTTGTTCGAAAGAAACTTTGGAGATTCAAAGACGTTACTTTAAATGCATATAAATCAGCAGAGGCATCCGTTGTTGGTGCCAAAGATGGAATTGTCGATGTTTATGAATCTGCTAAAAGTGATCCCCTCTCGATGGTTAGGCCGGGCTGCATAACTGCTGCCGTCATAGCAGGAGCTGTTGTCCAGGGAAGAGGAAAGAAACCTTTCTTGAGACTTTCTAGTGCATCAGTTGCAGGTGCTCTCGTTGCAAGTGTTGCTTACCCAGATAAAGCGTTTAAGGTTGCTAAAAATGTTTACATGGTAACAAAAGATGCTAGTGTTTCTTTAGCAGAAAGAATGCGTAATATAGCAGATCAAGCTAAGGGAACAAAAACAGATGAATTAGCCAATGCAACTATGAATCATGAACGTGAAACAGCTGGTGAACAATCAGACGACGAAGGAACAGGAGAATTCCCAGAGGTTGCTACAGTAGGTCATGATACTCATGCGATTAATACAGATGAAAGTTCAGTGGAAGCGGAGAGAATGCCAGCTGAAAGAGATCCTCAAATTGAAGGCATTGCTTTGATACAAGAACCTTTAGATATTGTGATAAACATCATTAAAGATGACAGTGGAGAAGAGATATGTTTATTAGAAAATTCAGTAACAAAATCAAATGCAGATGACAGCAAAGAGGAGGGCAGTGAAGGAGCAATGCCAAGTACTGATTCAGTTGAAAGCTCTTTGTCAGTTGAAGAGAAGAACATTGAGACAGAAGTGACTGAAAGTAAATCAGAAGTATTGTTGATTGATAATGATGAGAAAAACCAGGGATCACCCAATGACGTATCACACATGCAAGATGAGGAGAAGCCAGGAATAGCATCTGAAACACAAATAAATCCAACTAAAACTTATATTCCCAATGAAGAAGTTATGAAAAGTGAAGAAGTGAAAGAAGAAAAATCTCCTTCTACTGACAATGTAGATTATGGGCAATCAAGTCCAGAAGATCAAGATATGTACTCTACAAGAACATAAGATTCACAAATACATCATTTATCAATTATATTGCAGATGCTGTAATCAAGACATATTTGTTGTTCACTGCCATTTTATCATTTTTTCGAAAGATATTGCGTTGTTGGATTTTTTGTCTTCAATAATGTTCATGGATAAGGGAAGTTGTGATATCAGTGTCTTGATGTTAACAATGTGTCCTAAAATGTTCAATTTTTGACATTCAATTACAATTTTATTTTTTCACATGAAAAATGATTTTTTTTATACAACTGGATATGTGATTTATATATACCTAGGTAGCAAACTTGAAAACATGTTTGTAACATTACCCATAACATTATTCACTGTGTGAAAAAGCTTAATAAAGCAGTAAAGAACTTAAATTTTATCCAGGATGCTGAAATAAGGCAGTTTAATTCAAAGTCCTTTCAAAAATGACACAAGCCATCAAGAGTTTGAGTCAACCCTCAATAGTATTTTCATCAGAAAATTTCTGCATGAATTTGTCTTTGAAAGGAAAGAAACTAGCAAAAACTTGGAAAGACTAACATCAAGTGGGGCGAGATGAAAATGAAACTGCGCCAAGGTGGTCTTTCACTTAAGTTGTATGTGTACTGGCTCCTTATGAAATGAGAACAGTACAAAATTAATGGGTAAACATAACTAATTTTTCGATAGAAAGGCACCAGCCAGCCCACACTGACAAAATACTCATTAAAATAGCCAGAGCGGAAGGTCAAAGTTTTAATTAAGCCTCTCGTTTCGTCAAAACCAGTCAGGCAACAAAATATCTGTCTTTTTTGGAGGTCAAAAGATTTTAAATAATCAATCTTTTTCAGTCAATTAAAATTTAAAATGATATCAAATTGCTCAAACACAAAGTCAAATAAATTTCTTCTAAAATATTTTTCATATTATATTTCATATTTCATTTCTAGGGTTGCCCTTCAACAAAGTTGATTTGCAAGTGAACCTAACTAAAAAATAACAATTACAATTAATAATACTTTAAAAACCCATAATTATAAAACCCTATTTATAGCAGTATTTACATAAAATAATGTAGAAGAGGAAGCACACTGTGAGTTACGGGTGAAAAGGCTACAGAGGTATTCTGGAGCCAACATAGAGGCTCATTGAGAGAGGAAAATTAGCAATCTGAAGACCCCACGCCCTTTTTAGCACCTATGATTCGGTCTAACCGAATTTTCCATTTCAAAATGTCTTGAAATATCTATTGTTTCTTTTTCTTTATCTTATGCTTTTCCTTAAGGAAATGATACAGTGGCGGATTGAAGGAGGTAACTAGAGGGCAGTTGCCCCTCCCTCACCGAGTTGAAGCAAGTCTGGCGCCCCTTTTTGGTAATGGTTGTGGAAATTTCCTTTAGAAAGCCTTCTCTAACAAAGTTCTGAAATGACAATCAAATATACCATCGACTATCATTGATTTTTTTCAATAAATGCCACCACCAAGCTTGCCGAGTAAGCACCAGAAATGCCGAATCTGCCGGGTTAAGGACAGATTCAGGACTCTTGGAAGGGTGTCGCCCATGTAACCCTAAGTGTGGGTTATAGATCTCCAACGTTTTTTGTGTCTTTTTAATGCTAGTAAAGGGGGCTGTTTCTATACTTGTTTAAAATCTTCATCTTTTCCCAGTGGGTGGTTTTTGAGAATTTGCTTATATTGATAGTCCGACTGTCATTTGGTATACCGTAAGAGAGGGTTGAGTTCCCCAATATGGTGTGTAAATTACTTGGGAGTTACCTGGTTGTAGAAGTATACTCAGAAGGATTTCTGTATTTTGTTATTCTTCTTTCTCTTTCGTAAAAGTTTTGTAAAAACAGTAGCAAAATCTTGCTCCGACAAATTTATAAATTTTCTTCGTTTATCTTTCGAAGGGTGGGCTAAGCAGCTCCGACGGGGGGCTGTAGCCCCCCTGCCACCCTCTGGCACCACCACTGATCTTATTATCTTTGAGAAAAATTCTAAACTTCCTCTGTGACTGCTTATTGTAACAAAAGCAGTGAGATTGAATCGGAGAGGTATCGAAAAACAGAAAATATTGAATCAAGAAGTTCGTTTCATTTTGGATCGTCGAGTACAGTACATTTTTTATGATGGCTCTTGAATATGTTGTTTCATGTTTACTTCCCTGAATCGGTCTGAAGTATGTTTCATAATACCTTCCTAGCCTCGAAAGCGCATGTGGACTTGGCGCATGCGGATTTACTCCCTCCACCACATTATCTGAAAATGGCGGGCGTAGAGGAGTTGTACAAGAGCTTTGGGGTCCTTGCAGATGCTGGAGATAAAATATCCGAGGTATTTTATTAATTACAAGATACCTATTTGGGTCAAAGTAGATCTGTGTGTTGTTAATGGTTAGCTGGCCTTCGCTAGGAAAGCAAAGTTGTGCGCGAAGTACCATCAGGCCAAAATCAACCAACATAAATCGGACTAAAACAGAAATATTTTCTGACTGAAATTGTTTGAGTTCTTATGGACGTAGACGTATATCTTGCAATGGTTAACCTTGAAGCCACACTTTAGTCGTTTGTTTTTGCAACTCTGGTAACTTCCACAGTGGATAATATTCAGTCATGGTTTGAATGATAACACTTATGTAAACACTCGTAGTCTATGTTCTATTTTTGTGTTACACTTGCAACGAATGATACAAAATCTGACCGGAGTCCAGATTGAAAAAACATGTATGATCTGGCTATGCTTGGCCTGGGCAACAGCCACACAATCAGCTTCATCATGCGAGCAAAGGAATTTCTGATTCAATGATGCTTATACGTAAAAGACTATTATAATATATAACTGACTTGATTGATATTGTGGTTAGTGCTCTTGTGCAAGTAATCCAGCATAGCTGTGAGCATATGCAAGTTTGCCAGCATAGATTGTTATGAATGCAAATTTTTATAATTTTTTGCAGCATGAAGATGCATATAAAGCTATAATCGATGGAGTAAAAGGAGATGCACCCCAAAAGAAGCTTGCTTGCCAGTTTATTCCACGCTTTTTCAAGGACTTTCCAAAGCTTGCTGAACAAGCAATTGATGCACAACTTGATCTTTGTGAAGATGAAGATGCAGTAGTATGACTTTTATAATTTTTACTACAGGATCAAATTTATAGCAGTGTAATTATGACACATTAATGACAATTATTATTAATAAGTTATATCATTAACCATACTGTAATGAGCAAGTCAAATTAAACTGGAGTGAAACCACATTTACAGAGTAGACTACCATCCTTTTAATCCACAAGTGGCAATGTTGGGACAGCAATGCTGAGCTAGAACCCTGGTAGCAGGGTAAATTTTTATCCATCTTTGCAAATTTGTAGGTTGGCAATGCCAGTGTGTGCAATTCTGGGTTAACAAAATAAATTGGCTATCTGGTGAACAATGAAATATAATAATATATACCAACAAACTTGTTTACGTAAACAGGCCATATGTTAGTATTTGGGGCTTTAAAACCATTGATGGAGTGTCATATCCTTTGCTCAGCCAATCTTACCATTGAAGGTAACATGATAGACACAGAAAAGACAAACATGAATTATCAATGTTGGCTTTTACACCAGTAATGCTGAATGGCAGCCTAGATTTGAGGGGCCGCAGTAGAGGGAATATGCTTTTGACTGATAACAAGAGATGTCATGGCCTATCTCATTTTAAGCATGTTACTTCAACATATATTTAGAATTCAGTGGCCATTTCTTGAATACTTATTTTCAATAAAAGTATTATCCATTCATGATAACCAATTCATACCTCATTCACATTATGACACACCCCCAACAGATCAAATTTCCCCTTTAAAATCAAACTGCCTTTTCTACTTTTATAGAACTTTTATATATTTTTAAAGAACATATAGACCTTAACATTGTAAGTATTGAATTGATCCATATTTCTTTACAATGATCCTGAAATTTTTTTCAGTAAGATTAAACAAGTAATGTTATTCTCATCATTGTCAGTTGGTCCCCATTACATCCCCTTTGCTAACATTTCACAGATTCGTAGACAAGCAATGAGAACACTTCCAGATTTCTGTAAAGATGATGCTGACCATGTGACACGAATTGCAGATATTCTAACACAGCTACTGCAAACAGGTAATATTTTTTATGAAAGTTCTCAGTTGTCCTCCTCCATGATTGAAATTTATTTGGTAGCCTCAACTATTATATGCATAGTTTTGAATATAACATTATAAGACCTATTCTAAGAATATTCTCAATAGGTATCATACACTATATTTTTATCCCAGGAAAAATTGCTTCATGGTGTCATAAACAATGATGTTTGAAATGGTTGCAAAAAAATGGTTTTAGTATCCAACCAATAAATCTAGCTTTTTAATGAAGCTACAGTGACTTTTTGTAGATAGATTTCAATTGTACCCTCTTTGAACCTATTGAATACATTTCTAAGAAATTTAAACAAACATCAGACTGATGTCTACATACCAATCAATATATAAATTGATGCCATATTTTTAAGATCTTCCATAGGCATATGGTAAATGAAATAGAATCTAAGTGAGGTAAAGCTGAAAAGGGATTATCTTGACTCTTGTAAAGACTTGAGCTTACCAAATTTACCAGTCTGATGAAACAGTTTAAAAATATGAAACTAAGATGAAACACAACAACATATCATTTTATGGTCCGATTCCTTTGTTCTCTTTTATTTTAAACTAACAAATGTCTGATGTTTCTGAACTAACAAGTATTAAACAGTCTCATTTTAGCATCATATGTTTAAGGAATTACTACATAATATAAAAATGTGTGCTAATTAATGTAATTTATGCTTGCAGAAGATGAAGTTGAATTAGCAATTGTGAAAAGTGGTTTGGTATCATTGATCAAGAAGAACCCAAAAGGTAAAAAATTACCATTGTTTCTCTTTTGATATTGATTGATAAAGGTTTTATATGTAGGCTACCCAGTCCATTTGTATGCATTGTTATGGTTGTTTAAAATTAAATTTTGTTTGGATAGTTTTGAAAATAGTGTTTCATAAACCTTTTTTTTCTTTGATTTCACCCATAAGAAGCTTTTACAATGTTGTATTTTCGGAATTAAACTCTTAAGTCCAAACATTCTTTTATTATAGTAACATTGTAGTAGTTATAAGGAATGGTGCCTCTAATAACAATACATTTCATATTGCAGGTGCTCTCGGTGGTATTTTTTCACAGATTGTAAGTGAAGATGATGTTGTAAGGGAAAAAGCAATAAAGTTTTTGAACTACAGTGTTCAGCTGTTGCTGAAAGAAGTCTTCCATCCAAATCCCGACATGGAAATGTTTCTTTTTGAAGAAATAAAAAAGGTACATATATTTATTATTTCTTATTTATTTCTTGTTAGTAAAAAACTCACGGCATAGTCTTGATGTTGGAAATTTGCCTGCTGAGCCATTTTTGCTACTTTTTAAGCAAGGTAGGCTGAAGTTGCATCACTTGCATTGTTTGTATTACCTGATCTTTTGTAGACCCTATCTTTGCCTCATATTTGCCTCATTAATTCGTAGACCCTATCTTTGTTTGGAAGGGGGGGGGGGGGGGTCTATGACGTAGGCTAGATAATCTGAAGCTGTATTATAATTTTGAGTCTTTTTGAAGGGAGGTGATGGTGATGTCCCCCTTCACCCTCTCACTACCCAGGTGTCTGCCACTTCAGAGGTTCCTAAACAACCTGATAAAAATTCAGACAGGGCTGAAATTCAGAAATTCATTACATGAAAATATTTTAAACTAATCACACAGGATTTTTACTTAATCACATATCATGAAGTTTTCAAGGTTAGCTGTATAATTTGATATGTATTTCGCCCCCATTTATAGACAATGAGTGATGTCACTGGCGATGAGTTCAAATCATTTATGGCAGTTGTTTCAAAACTGAAGTCAATAGTCAGCCAACCGCAAAATCTTGCTGATGTCATTGCAGAGCAGGCAGAATTAGAGAAGAGTTTTGAGGTACAAAATGTTGTCACAACTATATAAATATGAAATATATAATGATGTACAAATATGACAGTTATGTAGGGCTACTGGCAGCATTGTAATATCTTTGCTCAGCACAAATCACACATTAAAGGTAAACAATAGAAAAATAACAGGCTATTTCTTAAGGTTAAGACTGCACCTCCTTGTTGATCAAAAACGTTTAGAAATTATTTTTCTTGGATGGAATGTCTATTCACTAAAATCTTGAGGATGATAGAAAATTGCACCTGCAGTTCTAAGCAACATGTTTGTATTGATGTTTATACTGTTTCAGCCAACCCCAGGGCTAAAGATTGCATTTGATTTTGGAATTCTACCTTGGACATTTTAAGGAAGTTATAGACAGTTTTGGAAGTTAAAGTTCCAAATTGTCCTTTCTTTGACATTGGTTTTGAAAAGTAGATTCAAATTGTCCTGCTGCCTGAAGTTGTATTTAGAAAGTTAAAAGACACCAGCTTGATGAATACAACTACCATCCCAGCTCCCCATGGTCAAGTTGCTCTTAGATAATTGGTAACCAGTGGTACTTGGCAGTTAATGATGAAAACCTCTCGGCTAACGAAGTGTCAGTTTTGACACCATGATTTAAATTATCATACAACGTCCTATCTGAAACTGCCTATTATACTTGAAACAGACGTTTAATCTTGCTCTTGATTTCCTAACATCTTATGAAGTTGTTAGACTAATCATCGACTAATAACTATAACTGTAGCAATCAATATTTATTATAGCCCAATTAGGCACCTTGCACTGAATCTGCTATCACCCAATGTTATGTAAAGTTTGCAGAATTGTCTATGCCCAACTAAGGAGCAAATTTAAGGCTTCGCTCCTCATTTAGGCCAATCAATTGCCTATAAATTACTTAGAGTGACCTCAATGCTATCCTTATCCTTACATAGTATGACCTCAATGCATAGTATGTCACAGAAAGTGTATTGCCATTTGAAGCAATCCGTAGTACGAAATAACTGTTTTTGTTTAATGTCTTCCCTAGCCATCAGACATTGATTCGATAGATCGTTTGATCACATGCACAAGACAGGCGGTGCCCTTTTTCAAGGTAAGGAATCCAATGCATTCATCTCGTTATGTCCAAATTGCCAGTTTTTTATTGAAGGTTAAGGCTGCATGTTCTTGTTTATTAAGCATATGTTTAGATATATTTTTCTTTATGAACGATTGTTGAAGTTATGATTAAGTTAAAAATGTAATGATCAGGCATGGTTCAAGAAATGACCGATAGCTGTCAAATAACATAGGGGATACTCCATTCCCAAGAACCTAGTCTGCATGCTGAGCTTCACAGACATCCTCTCTAAATTCTGTGAGTGGAGAGTTGCATAAAATGTATTAATTTCTCTATGAACAATCTTTGTCTCCGCGCTGTTATCAATTTTTCAGCTTCTCAATTGTATATTCTACCGTATTGTTACTCCATCCCTTGCTATGTTTTCTGGCGTTCCATATTCCAACATCCACATTTCTTCATGATTTAGAAGGGAGCATCGTCAGAGAAGTTCTATGATTATCTGGTAAAGAACGTCTTACCTGTCATCAATGAAGTTGCTCAAACAGGTGAAATGGGCGACTTCCGACTTGAGCTGTTGAAGTTGTTTGTCGAAGTATCCCCCTATGTCACAGAGGATCAAGCCAAAGAATCAATTGATATTATTTTCAATAAATTGATTGTAAGTTATAAAACTTTGGTGTAAAAGCTGGTTATTTTAGATTTTCATTAAATTCTGTTCAGTTATTTAGGATGTTTAGATGTTTAGTTGATTTTTAGGGTGCTCCATGGTGCGACAGCAGTGTTTCAAGGATTGCCTACTTTTACCCAGTTGTCTTCAGTTGTCATATAATTGTCGGTTGTCACAAGAAATAACTTGAAAAGTAGTATAATTGCGCTCCTTAAATACAGACACTTGGTTTTGCCACTAAGGGGACAATATTGCAATTAGGTGGAATTCGCATCTTGAAAATTTGACAAGCTCTTTTCGGAGCCTCCAAATGTAAGATTGATTGCAGAAGATACACAATTAAGAGACAGGATTTTTATTTAAATCTGCTGCATGCGATTTCAAAATGCATGTATGGTTTTGGTCAGAAGGTTGTGTTTTTAGGGCACTACTCGTCAGTTACATGTTGCTATTACTGTTCTTTGAGGATTTCGTATATCTTTTATCGTAATTAATTTGAAGATCGAACGAGCTACGAATAGAATCTGTGTAACATTGTTTGCCTTTAAGGATTACATGCCAGCACCTCCGACCGACGAGGAAGAAGATAAAGAGGCTGCAGATGATAAAGAAATAGAGGCTGAGAAGAAGTTGAATTTCTCATACGTTGAGTGTCTTCTTTTCACTTTTCACCAGCTCGGCAGACAGGTAGGGGCCCACTTTAAAGTACCGTATTTCTTCTAAAGAACGCGTTTATTACAAACTCCAAATTTTGGATGCGGCGATCAATTAGAGGTCAATCCAATGGAATTTGTAGCCACTGATTCCATTCTATCCTTACCCGTATGATTAGGATCTGTGGGACTCGTCTTGACGTCGAGGCCATGATGATTGAAACTTATCTTTAGAAAGCGGCTTTCCGAAATGTTTATCAGTTGGTTTGTGCTAGTATGAAATCATCCATCTTTGATTTTTATTACAGGACGAAGAGTATCTATCGAAAGAAGAAGCAGCCGAAAAATTAAAAGATTTTAGATCAAGGTCTGTCCTTTTCCTATTCATTTTCTACAACATTTCGCGTTCACATCATTTGAAAACATCTTTACACGGTAATTTCACGTTCTGCTAGATGGCAATTGGAAAGACGGAAATACAAAGTTGAACTAGTAGCTCGTTGTGCAATTTGGCCCGTTAATTTCCCAGAATTTTAAAGATTATCAGGACTTTCTCTGTAAATGTATGGTTGATTCTTGTTTTTGCCGCATTGGCAGATCACCGCTGCAGGGGTCTAAGGCACAATAGGCTATTTTGATATTATATGCTTCATAACAATCTATTTATGAGCAAATTATTTATCATAACAATCGAATCAAATCTATCGAAACTATTTGACCACAAGTTCAGAAGGCAAGATCAGTTCAACTGCCATTTGTTTAACATTGATTTTCAAACGAAAACAGAGTTGCACCCGCAACAGCTAAGAAACTCGGAAAGTTATTCATTCAGAGGGGCATACATACGAGATACCGTTTCTAAAACGTTAATACAGTCTAATTGTTTAAAAATGAACTTGGGCTGTGTTCAAATGAAGACTGAAACTGTCCTCAATATAGAGGATTTACAAGTAGACGAAACATGTTGAAATCATGTTTCATTTGCCCTTCCAGGCTTCAGTACTTAGACGAAACATGTTGAAATCATGTTTTATTTGCCCTTCCAGGCTTCAGCACTTAGACGAAACATGTTGAAATCATGTTTTATTTGCCCTTCCAGGCTTCAGCACTTAGACGAAACATGTTGAAATCATGTTTCATTTGCCCTTCCAGGCTTCAGCACTTAGAAGAAACATGTTGAAATCATGTTTTATTTGCCCTTCCAGGCTACAATACTTTGCAAGACAATTACAAGCGTACATAAAACAGTTGAGAGTGGCATTACAGGGGAAAACGGGTGCAGAACTGGAGGAGGCAGAAAACAAAATCAAATGTCTAGCTTTAAAAACAACAAACAACATCAATGCCCTTATACGAGTAAGTAGCAAATCAATGTTTTTAAATATTGTACAGTTGTTCTGATCTTTCATAAGTTATCTTTGTATTGAAAAGTTACTCCTACTAAAATTATTTTTCTGTCGCCCAGGATCTGTTTCACAACCCGCCATCTTACAAAAGTGTCATTATTCCGTCATGGAAGGCTCCTGTAAGTTTTTATTTTTTCTAAATAAAACAGTGATCATTTTGCAATTCTTTCTTTGCTTGGTGATTATAAGGTTAATTTTTAATACCCTTTTAACTTTTGCAGAATCCATCTATCCCAGAAACAGTCGATGAGAGGTTAGTATGACGTCATTATATTTCATTTATAGCTCTTTTTGAAATGATTTTTTATGGTATTGTGAGAAGTTTTGAGAATATTTAAGCGGAAAAATGGAAACATGTGCGAATTGTGCTGCATTGCAAATGTGTGTTTCGTTATTTTTCAGACGAAAGAGGGCTGGAATAACCCCGGTAACATTTGAAGGTTCGCCGACCACAAAGAAGAAGAATTCATCAGAGGTATACACGCCACCCAGCCGAAGGAATGGATCTGCAACAAAGTCTCCAAATTGGTCAGGGGGTTACGGTCAGAGCAATTATAGGAGAGGGTTCGGAAGGCAGCGACGAGGACGAGGGCGTGGTCGAGGAAGTCGCGGGGGAGGCTACAGTGGGTTTTTATATCGGTAATTAGAGAGGTGGAAAAATCAGTGCAGTTGCTTCGAATTAAAGGAGTTGTCTGTTGTTTGCCCTGAGTTTTGAACTTTTGCCATCAGCCGTTTTCGCCTGCAGAGAGGTTGTAAATGCAGCTAAGTGGTACGTCGTTGAAAGGTGATGTTGTGAGAATATATCGAATCTTTTGTCACCAAAGTGCTTAATTTTGGAAGATTCTTAAAGCAATGGCGGGAGATACTACGTCAAAAGCCAGCTGAAAGTGTTTGAACATTTCTTTTTTTATCACTTTATGAATTATATGGACTTTAAATGGGGGTTATCTCGTTTTGCGTTTTCCCGTAAATGTTGCAACATACCTGATACCAATGTGGTTAGGTTCTGTTACTACTCTACGACTTGCAACCCGAAATCTTGCTTCAAATGTAAGCCACTCTAATTTTGAATATAACCCATTAATTTCAAACAATTTTATGGCAACTGCTCCTCTTCCAACCTTTTATTCTTCTAGATAAAAAGCGCACATGTAATGTAATACAGGGATGATTGCGTATCAGCTTTTTTCTTCATTTAATGTTGTAGAAAACGGACTGTTTAAATGTAGTTTGTTTTTGTCAAAAGACGTTCATTCATTTTATTGAGTGAAAAACGCTATTTGATATTTTTTGTTGAGCAGTTTCTTTTATTGATTATTATGAATAATGATTTAGTGCTATGCAGAATATATGGCCTTGTTTTATCTTAAATGTAACGTGTTAACTATTAAAAATTAACCAAATCTTGCTTTGATGCGGCTATTAAAGTTCCTAGATTTCTACATCGTCTTTTGCATGTAGTTCTGTTTTGTTCTTGCCTTCATTATGTATCGACGCTTTGAGATACAAATTGCTTATTGGTCTTTTTAGTCTTTGGTCTTCTCAAACATAGAGCGTTTATTAAATGTAAGTTTTAAAGATGTAAGTTTTATTTCAAGATATACTAATGTTTGTGCACTTAGCCGGAATAGTTTGTTAATTTTGGAAAAAGCTTGTTTGAGTCATGAATCTGACTTGTAAGTCAGTTATTTTATTTTATGAAGATGGCAAAATTAGATTTCATCAAGAATTTCGGCAAATCTGAATTCTGGTTGACAGGGTTTTTCAATGAAAACACGTGCTTCCATTCTTAAATCTCAGATGCCATAAAAAGTTTTTCTTTATAATTTTTTAATCTTTATTCCTATGAAAATACTCATGAAAATAAACATCTGATTTGCGGCTAAAATGAACAGCTTTTAAACTCCCTCTGATTTTTTCACTTTTTGGCGTCATCTTCCATTTTTTAACCTTTCATTTGTTGTGTTTCTTAAATAAAACGGAGAGCCCATCAAAAAGCACGTTTTCATATTAAGAAAGAACAGTAGCAATAACTCATTGAAGGTTCGAGCCATATTCAGACTGGTTTAAGTCATTTTTTATAGAGACAACTTCAATTAGGTCTAAGGATGGCTCAGTGGTTAGGGTTGCGGACTACAGATCCAACAAGGGCCTAGGGTGCAAGTCTTTTAACATGATCAAACTTTCACCCAGAATTTAAGTGTGGTTACATCAAGAGGAAGGACCAGGACACTGCCCTATAATCATAGCTCCTTAATGTTCTAAAAACTTTCTTCAGTTGTTTGGTAGAAACAAACGCAACCTACAATTGTTACAGCTTTGCGAAGTTTTCAAAGGTTAAAAAATCCGTGAATGACGTAAAACTATTCATTCGTGAGATGCTGCCTCGCTCCGAGAATGAGGCAAGTAAGAAGATATGAAGATATGGAGGCGAGCTAAGTGTTGACTGCTGTTTTTAATTAAGAATTTCCCATCTTTCATAAAAATAGAGGAAAAATGGAAGAAAAAATGGAAGCTAAAGTTAGCAAGGAAGATTGCATTAAAATGTTGAGAAAAAGAGTACAAGAATTGAAAGAAAAAGCTGCAAAGGATCACACTGAAGCAGAGATCAAGCAAAATATAACCGATGTTTTTAATGGTAAGAAACATTTGAATTGGTAACGCAAATGATCGCCTTGTAAAATATAATACTGAACTTAGTATGTGTTTTTGTTATAACTTTTATGTTTACTGGTTTTGGAATCTTAAAAAGGTATTTAAAGGGCTATTGCTTTGTTAGGCCTTACAGACTCCAACTAAAACATCGAAACAAAGACTCTTTGCCATCAAAATCAGAGAAAGGAGGAACAAAACTGACAAAAAACTAAACTGGGTCTACTGCTATAGCTAAAATTGTTTGAATTTGTAGTAAAGAGGGCAATTCCTGAAATTCATGTATCCTATTCAGCATTATCAATTTTTTATCTTCAGATTTGCCAAAAATTGATCATAGAATTGGAATCTTAATGTTGAAATTAGTATGTGTCAAAAATTTCCTTTTGTTTGGACAGTTAGACCCCAAACTAAGCTGTTTTCAAAATTTAGCTTTCCTTGACATTTGACTGGAATTTTCTTCTGCATAGCAAATTTCCTGCAGAAACTTCCCCGGTGAAAAATCTTGCAGGATCCTGTATAGGATCCTCGCAGGATCCTCACAGGATATTGGTAAAGGATCCTACAGGATCTTGTGCAAGATTGGAAGACAAATCATGCCATAACCAAAAATATTTTAAAATCGCTATAGTTGTATATCTTGCCGGGACCAGGAGATAGATCTTTGTACCTTGACAATCCAAGGTTGAAATCTCCACAGAACATTACTTGTTTGTTTTTTTTGTAACCTACAAAAAATCGTACAGACAAAAAAGTCAGAATCCCCTTTTTATCAACAAAATTATCATAACCTGGAGAACTGAGACTTTCAGTTACAGTCTTTTATGAAGTAGATGTTCTAAACGCTTTTTTCATATAAAAGAAAGCTGATATTTGTTTGAGATAAGCTGAAAACGTTATGACATTTGTGTAAAGCATTTTCCTTGAAGTCAGGGAAGCTACAGCCCCCCTAAAGCATCTCATTGTTGGAAAATGTGTACGAAATTTTGCTACTCTGTCGAGATTTTTAGGAAATATTGTCTATCGACAACCTCCTAATACGAATTTTGACTCTCACTGCGCCTGAATTATTTATGAAATGCACGATCATATTAAAAGTAGCCTGGTGGCATTTGGTTATAAGTATTTATGACCTGGGTCTGCGCTATCAAGCCTTTCAAGAAGACTGCAACCATTTCCTTGCAACCGATTGTTTGACAGAAACAAAACAAATTGGAATTCAATGTGATTTCTAGTAATGGGATGTCATCTAGATAACTGATTGGAATATAGCTTGTCGGCATTTGGAACAGCCCTAATTTTGGCAGTGGGTTGAAAGATTTGTGCCAGCTCTTTATTTTAAAAGAAAAAGCCTCTTGGATGTGCGTCATGAAACTAATGAGGCGCCAGAAAATGATTCTCTGAATAGCATTTTTTTTGTAGTTTTTTTACAGATTTTCCATAAGAACGAGCCCAAAGATGGCCAAAAAATTAAAAAATAGTACTGATCACCCCCAACTTTAAGAAGCTGCTCGAAATTTAGTTCTTTTAGTCGATAAGAAACCTATTTGTGTTTAAATTTTCATAGATAATAGAAAGAATATAACTCCTTACAACTGATTAGGTGTTTGTTACGTTTGATATTCTGTTGCGTTTGTTTGTGTTTTTTCCCATAAAGTAGCTTTTTAGTTCTTGGTATTAAAGCAAACTTTCAATAATAAATTCATTAATAAAGTTAAGAAAATTTTAACTGGTAGTTTGCTTAGTTTCTTATGAAAAATTCGCATGTTAGCTTTTGTGATGTAAAAACTTGGCCCACTAGGAACATTTAAAACGATACAAAGATTTCTAAACTTTGTAGCAAATTGGCTGTTGGCGGTTTGAAACAGTTTTTGAGCAATTTGAAATTTTAAAGTGCAATTTTCAAGGTTCACACAAAATCTACTCATTTAAAGTGTTTCCTAAAATTATCCTTCTTGGCCTTTACATGTTTTAGCAGCAGTTTTAGGTCAGATTCTAATTTTTTTAAAATAATATCTGGTCTAGCACAGTACCAAAGAAGAATATTCTTTTACCTGCTAAGCTGGATCCATTCTTCTCGATTCTTTTGCTTGCAATCTTGACTTTTTCGAAAAAGCGCCTGACAGATGTTCAGCATTTTGCATCTCTGGTCGCGTTTTACAGCGGGTCGCATTTTGCAAGTCTTTCTTCTGCTTTCCACCAACAGATTGTCTCGTTCAAAATGTGACCCGCTGGACTGCCAAGTGTCCTCTGATTGGTTGGTAAAAAAGGCATGCGACAATTCACTCCATTAGCGATGGTTATCGCAGTTTATGAATCCCCGTACCTACCAGAACACCGGTTACAGCACGATCACCCCTTGAAAGTCCCTGATTTTGAATAAGTCGAAAACAAGTTATTTGAAAAATATTCTTTCCAGTTCAACATCCTTTTCTATAACCATATTTACCCGACAGCATATCTAATTTGGGGTGCAATGATAACCAATTTGTGCAATGACAAAACGGTTTTGTGCAGTGCTAAAATGGAAAGCTGCTCCGTTATAAAACTGATGCTTTAATTATGGCGGACGAATTTTATGCCTTTTAAATAAACTTCAAACTTTTTGAACCTTAAAAAGAAAATTGATAGCCTGAACATGCCCAGGGCCCCCAAGAGTTGGGGAAGAGGCAGGAGTGTAGCCAAGAAAATTGTTTAGAGGGATGAAGAGGCGACGAAAAAGGGCGCGTTTCATTTTTTAAGGGTGTGGTCAAAAGATAAATACTCTTGCATGCTGCTTTTATTCCTTTCTGTTTCAAAGTTTATACTCTAGTGCCATACTTTGATAGTTCAACTACACAGAAATGTTGCAAAAAGGTTGCAGAGCGAGTGCCCAGCAATAATCCTTACTGTGTCGACCAACAAATTGTTGGGATACCACACCCCCACCGTACCCCCCTATGCCGACGCCTCTGGGAAGAGGGGGCAAACTGCAACAGAGAATCAACGTCTAGCATCTAAGGGGCCACATAAAGTAATAAGTTCCATTTTAAAAACGGAATTAATTCAACTTAAAAAGAGTATGCCTAAAAATAGTAAATCGATTTAAGCCAATATATACATGAAAGTGACATGAAGAAATAATTCTGAAATGTATTTGAAAAAGCTAAACTAAAGGGTGTGGTATTTATATACATCAGAGATTGATATGATCATATGTTTTGTTTTTCTTGCGCTTTGCTGCATCAAAAGTCCATGAAATCGATTGATATACACTTAGGATCAGGGATGTAGTGCTAGGAGCTGAGCCCCCCTTGTTAATGCCAAAAACTTGGCAAATTTATATTTTTCTATTGTTTTTTGCAACTTTTTGTGCAAGAGCCCCCCTTGTTATTTTGATAGCACTACACCACCGCTTAGGATTCAAGATGTTGGTAGGATCCTGGTCAGAATGGAACAGGATCCTCTTTAAGATTCTACAGGATCCTATCGTTATATTCAAGATTCTGGCAGGATCCATGTCACAATCAAATAGGATCTTGGAATCGTTATGTGTAAGATCCTAATCTAGTTCTTGTAAGATCCTGCAATGTCACTATGGATCCTAGCAAGATCCTATTCAAGATCCTGTTTTGGAATTCTGTAAGATTTTTGGTAGGATCCTGTGTAAGATCTTCAGTTGTTTATCTCCTACAGGACCCTTATGTAAGATCTTGTATAGGATCCTAAACATTTAGGATTCAAGATGCTGGAAGGATCCTGGTCAGAATGTAACAGGATCCTGTTTGACTTTGTACAGGATCCTATCTTTATATTCAAGATCCTGACAGGATCCATGTCACAATCCAATAGGATCTTGGAATTGTTATGTGTAAGATCCTAATCTAGTTCTTGTAAGATCCTACAATGTCATTCTGGATCCTAGCAAAATCCCATTCAAGATCCTGTTTTAAAATCCTGTAAGATTTTTGGTAGGATCCTGTGTAAGATCTTAAATTGTGTTTGTCTTACAGGATCCTTATGTAGGATCTTGCATCAGATCCTATGCACACAGGATCTTGCAGGATTTTTGGTAGGATCTTGTCCAGGATCCTAAAAATCTAGGATCCTCCTAGGATCCCACAGGATCCTGTAGGATCCTGCAAGATTTTTCACTGGGGTTATATCTTAATATTCAAAGCATAGTAGCTCACAACTAAACAGGGCTTGCCAGGTATTTTGATGTGATTGTGTGATCAGGTATTTTCGATGCGTGAATTCGTGAAACAAAATATTTATTATGCATAAGAACGTAATGTGAAAATGGTCGCGTGAAAATGAGTGCTGCAAGGGAATTTTGAAATGGAGTGCTTACTATTTCACCAGACCAGATAAATGCCTCCATTATTCAGAGATTCCACTGCTGATGGCTCTGCCATAAGAAATTACACCTATTAGATAGTTGTTAAAAATTCAGAGAGCTTCTAGGGGGGGGGGGGGGTGATCGTGAAATTTAATTTCCAATACCTTAAAATTTTACTTGTGATTGTGTGATTCAGCATGGATACTATTCTGGAAAGTGTCCAGAATAGACTAACTTTGACATGACCATTTCAAATCTGAGTTCCAGAATTGACAGTTAGGTCAATCAATGACAGCAACTTTTTATGCAATTCATTCCTTCAACAACTCACTTTACAATAAATATATTTATTGTTCCTAATTCATTTAAGAGTATGTTTTTGCTCACAACCATAACTCTTAATCATTCTAATTTTTCTAGTTTTTTTTATTTATTTATGGCAAGTTATTAAAAACCTTTCTTGAATCTAAGCATATTTCCCCCTGCTCAGTTAGAACTTTTTTCAGCTACTAAAATGAATTTTGATATTTATAGGATTCAACTGGAAAGATGAATCAGCTGACGAGTCAAGCTTTCATTCATCTCTTTGGCTTGGACTCAAGGTTTTGAAATGGATTCTAATTATATTGATGATGGTTGTGTTACTCACAGTATCTGTATACTTGGCTGGTCAATACAACCCATATGTCTCAAACCATTTAAGAGCCACCATGCATGATCGCAATATGGCTTACACAATTGCAAGGTTTATGAGAATCGTCAGCCTCCCTTTTCATGAGATTTTTGATCTGAAGAAAGCACAAAAGTGGGAATGTCTGGTCCAAAATCCGTTTTATAAGTCGGGTATGTCAAGCTAGTGACCACAAAAGCACCTTTATTGTTGTATGATATGTTCTTATGGAAAATGAATTTTTGTTGTTATTTATCTTTGCAGAATTACATAATGTATGGAATTCAACCATGCAAAGCATTTCCTCAAAAAATGACCTCATTGGTGAAAGTGCCTTAAATTTTACTTTGAAATGCTTATTGGTTTAAAATGATTTTTGTTATTGAGCAGAAATATGTAAGACTTAAAGAGATATTAAAGTTAAATGTTTGTTTGACACTGACATCAGAGACAAAAACACATTTTTACCAAAGATTTGCAATATGATAAACCTACTTCTATTTCATAAAATGTGGTAGAATTGCCAATGTTTTGATCTTGTTTGTCTTATCACATTTTAGAAGAACCAAATTGTGAGCTCTGTGAACTTAATCAAGAGATTCCGGTCATGGCTGCATCAGACAAGGAGGTTAAAGAAATTTCTGCTTTTGGAGAGCCATGCGTTATTAAAAATGAACCTTCATTCAATAAACAAAGTTATAATTTCACATTTATCAAAGAGTTTTACTTCAAAAACAAAAAAGACTTGGATTTCAGTGCCTGTGAGTTATTTGGTGATGGAGGTAGTAAAACTGTTGGGGGTTATTTTCAGAGTACTGAAGATCAGGTGCTAAAAAGTAAAAAGACTTTTGGTTGGTAAGTATGAAAAATAAGCTCACACTATGAGGAGATCTGCATTGTTCCATCTATTGTTTTTTGATAAGGACTACTTAACTTTCCATAACATCGTGGTATGAACAAAGCCATTTTTGCAATAGAAGCACCATCATATTGAAAAATCGACATTTCAATTAATCTGTAAAAACCGCCGTCATTGCCTTCTGAAAATTCATAATAAGAATGTTGACATATTACCTTTGATTTCTTTTGCATGACAAATGTTTGAGCTATAAATTTATTTCTGATTTGAGAGGAGACACTATGCATGCATTCTCTGCCTATGGTTACGGAACTGACAGAGAGCCAAAAATGTTAGTAGTTTTAGACCTAACATATTCTTATTTGCTGTTATTTCAAGTTCCCCTTTGGAAGTGGTTCACTATTCTGTGTGACACGGGCAGAAGGCTAGACCATAAGCAGAATATTCAATCTCAGTTTTGGGCAGGAATGCAGCATGCTTTCATTTGGGGAAAATTTTCTATAGGCATTTAGATTATGAAATTTAAATTTTCATATGATAGCTATGAAAGCATTTAGATTGTGCATTTTGATCTGCTAATTCTAGCATGTAATGAAAGCTAACTCAAAAAGCTGTTGAATTCATAGGATTGTGTTATTTCCTTGAATTTGTTTAATTCTTTGCCACTTTTAGGAAGAACTGCCGTATAGAGGGAACACGTGCACTCAGACAGCTGTTTAAAAGACCTTCATTTGTACCACTTATGTCAGAGATATATCTTGAGAAGCACATGTTTTTTGTCCACCCAGAGTCACCTCAGAAACTGGAACTTGTGAGTTTTCATATCAGAGTGTTTGTTTTTGCTGTGTATGCTGCTTTCAGATAATGCCAAGTCTTTCTATTAGTTTGTAAATTCTTAGGTCTAAGGGTGAAAATTCGAATTCTAAGTTTGTAATCCTATTAGTTGGCTAATTCTGTTAAAAATCTTGGCAAAATATGAATATGGCAAATGCAATATGATAAGATATCTTTATTAAATCTGGCCTTGTCTCCAAACATGATATTTTGTGATACCTTGACAGGGCTTGGAAATGGGGTTAATGGCTTGCGATCATACCTAAAATGGACGCTACTACACATTAAAGTGGCAATAATATGTGCCACCTCATACAATAAAAACTGATGAGAAATGAAAATGGCTGTACAAGTATGCTAGTCTTCTGTGAGCGGAATGCGGATGAAGTGACGTCAGTGCTGTTTTTCCTCGTGCTAGGCCATTTTGCCATTTTTCCGTTTTTCCCGATTTTTACAGGGTAGTCATCAACACTTTTACTGGCTTATGCCTATCGATTTTCACGTTGGCTACTCTCAAGAGTGCGACACACATTCTGCCATTTCTGCAAGGGTAGCGGAATGGTAGGGCCGGGGAAGTGACATACTCTCTTCCTATTAGTTCATGACTCGAAAAGTTTTCGCAAGCTATTATTTTGTGCGATGCTAGCGATTTAGATTGAAATCCATTATGGAGCCTTTTTTAGAGGGGGAAGGGGAGGGTAATTGATAAAAGTATCAACTTGCTGATATTTGCTTAGTTTTTAGGTCATAAAACTTTCATTAACCTGCTTTATCTTGTAGCCTTCCTGTGGGACATCGAACTGCTTCATAGCTCAAGTTTCAGGCGCTTCTTCTGTCACTTTGACTCCATTTGATGCTTGTCGCAAGAACTGCACCAACACGGAGCAGTTTGAGATACAGACCGGTGACATATGTAAGTTCAAAAGCTTTCTGTCTCTCGCCGTGCCTTATCTTGAAATCACCTTTCAAATCACTTCTCTGAGTGAATATCTGCAACATGGCTGAAAAAACATTTAAAAACTATAAAGCTTGGTTGTTAAAACATTATGTGGTACCAGCAATGACCGTGTCTGTCATTTTTCTGAATCTGGAATAACTACTGTATTTATTACTCGTTTTTCTTTTCTCAATAAATATTCCTCCCGCCGCACAGCGCCCTCTGCGTCTCTGAAATTACGTGAGAGATAGGGACCTCATTCTAGCATAAGAAAATTGATGTATTTTCAAACATTCTTTGTCATAGTTTACTACCCTGAACAACCATGGAAGGTGACTGTGGAGGCGAAGCCAAATCAGCTGTCAATAATTTATCGCTCAGATTTTTCGTGATGGCGTTGCTAAGCAACGAAGGTTCTTTGGAAGGACTTGTCTTACGGCCTCAAGTTTATTTGTATTTATTGTACGTAGGATTAGTTGGTAATCAATATGACGCTTTCATCGATCAACATTATTTACATAGTGAATAGACATACAAATAAGATTGTAACATTCTCAACTTCTTATTTGCTTCAATTCTCCTTTCTGCATTTACCATCGCATTACTCTTTTCCCCTATTCTGCACAACTTATTACATCTTACCTTTCCTTCTGTCCTTTTCTAAAACAGACCTGAAAAGCTGATCAGATGTAGGTAATACACCACCGTTTTTATTTTTGTTACCATTCCTTCAACTTCGCATATATTCTCCTTTCGTTCCTTTTTGTCTCTTTTTGTTTTCGACACCCTCTTTCTTTCTATGGGTGTCCCTTTTCCTATCCCTTTGAACTCATTATATGCCTTGACATCTCATTGTTTACCTTTTGATTTTGGGAACCTTATTTTATACTAACCATGTTTGTAGTATGTGGTTTATGTTAAGCTGTATTGAAGCATCAGTGATGTTTTCTGATTTATTTGTAGCTTTCTGTTTAGGTTAGAATCATGTAGAACAATGGCAGGTTTAGTCGTGCAATCTGACATTTGGAAGTTTTTTTGGCATCTTAAGTAGAAACAAGTGTATCTTGATTTTGTACTTTTTTCTTTGCATGATCTGTTATTGTGCTTAAATGTGTGGTTCTGGATGATTTTCTGAATTTGACTGTACTACCTGATAAAGACGGAAGTCAAAACGTTTAAAAGACAGAGTTTTTTGCAAGTTTATATGAATATTTAAGCACTTTCGTAAGATATCTGTAACACCTTTATGAAACCATAGAAGCCTACTTACGATCTTAGGCTAAACATAGCATCCGCTACACCCATGGGTAGCTATACTTTATACTTGAGTTGCTTTTTGGAATGGAAACCGTTATAAAGCTTTCAATATTAACTGATGCGACGATCTTCGAACCTTTCACCTACAGCATCTGAGGGCAGAAACGCTGAGCCGCTAAATTTAGTTGTTTGTTGCGACAAAGATAGTTATTCTTTGCTTACTTGCTTTTTGGATTTGAAATTGCTTTAATTGCAAATTGTGGTGTTATTACGTTTCAAAGTATTAGTTTAGGTGACACGATTTGTAAGATCTTTTCAGTCGCGAAGTGCACAGCTCCACGCACGTTGGAGCGCTAGAGTACGTGCTGAGGTATCTTCATGGTAGGAGCACAGGGCTCTGATATGCGAAGAATAACAATGGCAAAATTGACAATAGCAATGCACTTTTCCAATCAAAACTTTTATTGCCACTATATCCGTTTCTTAAATCACGTCATGCCACAAAGGATTGATTGTTTTCGCGAAAAGCCGTGCCAACTTCCCTTCTGGCAATAATACAATGCTTCTTTGCATCGTTGACTTCGTAATGACGTTGAGTCAACATCATTTCGTGGCCGCAAGTAATAGAAATCGGTACCACTGTCACGTCAGAATAGACAACGCAATCTGGAATATATATATATATATATATATATATAGGTATAGTGGAATATAAAATATATATAGGTATTTATATATATACCTATATATATATATATATATATATATAGGTATATATATAAATATTATATATATATATATAAGGGCAAAATTTGCATTTTTACTAGTGTACACGTCTTTTCAACTGTACAATATATATATATAGGTATATGTATGCATTCCCCGCGACCCACTACATAGTGTACTCAATCTTCGTACACAAAAAGGAACCTTCTCAATGCACATATATTGTTAAATGTTCAAAAACAACAATAGTTATTGGGAGATTCAATTTGTGATTCAATTTGTATGGCACTTGAGGTTTTTATTGTTCATAGGAAATAGGATTGCAGAGAGAAGCGTCCACAAGCATAAGGATCTTTGAATTTATAATTTGAAGAAAGATAATCTAGAAAACAGATGTTTGACGAGGGTGATTTTCTCTTTTGATGCATATTTTATAACCGATCGATTATCACCTCGACGCCCCCCCCCCTTCTCTGCTAGAAAGAACAATGGTAGTTGCGGCCCTAGTTGGGCGCCAGCAACTTAAGCTTGAGAGTCGCCGGTGCAGAGGCGTGATCAAAAGTGATTGGGTGGCAATACTTTTAAAAAAATAAAAAATAAAAATGCACTTGGTAGGGGAAGGTCATGTTTTGCCATTATTTGGATGGGAATAGCTTTGAAAGAGCGTGAGCGGACACATAAAAGACTACCACCACCATACAGATACTATGACAACTTCATGATGGCATTAAAATTTCTCACGACTGCCAAAGTAGAAAAACACTTGTGATGCTTGACGAGAAACTGCTGGGTTCGAGATCTACCCGGAAAAATTTGGTTCCCGATGGTTCGATGAGGGTAGGGAACAGTTAGGGCAATCGGTGTAGCTTTTGGCAATTCTGAAACGCCCTTTTTGCATCATTTCTGTGCTACATCTTAAAATAGTGCTATTTTCTGATATCAGCTTCTGATAAATCCCATACCTCAGACTTTTTTATCCATATAATAAGAATAAGTTACAAAATATTTTGATAAAACTGTGGAGAATCGTCACCCTAACCCCTGCCTTGATGATAGCGCTGGGAACTACTTCAAAAATAAGCAGATGTAATCCGTTTCGCCTTTTTAGAGCGACTTTAGTCTGCGATTATCTTGATGACATCTTTAAATTTCTTGTGCATCTTCAAGTGTAAGGTTCTTTATAGTCGTGTGGATTGCTTTCCCTTTAACTTAATTTTTATGCAGCGCACTTCTCTCAGCTTGTAAACATTTCGTCTATCTCAATTTTAATCGTCTCAACTTTACTATAATGTTAGCAGTCTCCCTGGATTCCCAGCATTTTTGCAAGCAAGACTCTCGCACTGATTTCAATGCCATTCTGCAAAATACCGCGCACTTGGCCAGTCGATAATCAAGGCGTAACTGAGATGATATTATCGAAACTTAGTGGTATTTTGCAATACCTTTCGGCAACAATGTAGCTGGCCCCAAGTGGTGCTTCGTGACTATTTGCCCAGACGTATCTGCTTCTGGTACCATACCCCGTCCCTGTTTCTACTAGCGAAAGACTGCACCTTTTATTAAACATACACAAACCAGGAATTTTCGATAAAGCGACCTTTCAAAATCTCGGTTGGTGAAAGACGTAAATAAATGGGTCGATGAGCATGTTTATATTCCACTATAACTCGAAAGCCGGACCAACTTGGATGATCATGTGATCCGCATGCAGTATCGATAGCACAAGGTCAGCAATGATCGCAAAGAAGACAATACCAACTAGAATAACTGTCGTAACAATGAAAAATCGATGGTTATCGTCGTTCGTATCTTTATGTCGAAACTGAAGATCGCTACGCTTCTTGCGGTAGAACAAAGAGCCATATGTAACGACAAATAAAACGACAAAAATTACGTCAAATGCAAGCCAAACAAATTCGTCGTAAAATACTCGAATTTTTTCCATATCCAAAAAACAGTAAATTGGCGCAGGAATCAATCAAAATATCCAAAGGACGATGAGAAGATTCCGCATTGTGTTTCTTTTTTCAGAAATCGACCGGTATTTAAAAGGAAAGTTGCAAGCAAGAAACCGGTCTAGTGTAAGTAAATAAAACATTTTATACCAGGGATGGTAAACAGCTGCCCGGATCATCCCAACTATTAACCCGGCTTTACTATCCAATACTGCGTGTCCTGATACTTCAACTGATATTTGGAAAATGAAACCAAGCGAATTCAAAATTTCAGCAATGCTTAGACTTAGAATAATAAGAACTTGGTTGGACCGGCCGACTTTTGCAATTTTCAGAATGTAAATTCCGCAGATATTGAACACGATGGCACCAACAACAACTATTATACTGAGAATGTTGCATGCTATTTCGACGCAGCATCCATTTCGCAAAGTTGTTGGTGAAGTCAGTCTCGGGGGTAATGTTGGAAGCAACAGCACGCATTGCCGGGAGGAGCCACAGAAAGGAAAAGCGAACAGGTTCCTGCCTTGTGTTTCTTATTGTAGGTATTACTAAGGTTTTTCGTTTTTAAATAGGACCTATTTTAACAACCTGTCGCAAAAAGGATTTTTAAACAACCTTTTTAACCACCTGTAGCGAGAAAATTCCTTTTTGACTTACATCAGTTTTCTGTTCTGTAATTTTCTCATTGCTAGACCCCGTTTCTATTACTAGAGGGTGCATTAAATTAATTCTAGGTTGGGAATCCAACTTTAGAAATATGACTTGCTAAAAGCTTTTTCAAAATCAATTTTCAAATCTCTTCAAGCTGCAAATGAAACATCTGAAATATATATTGAACGTGTAATATGGAAATGAGAAGGAGCATATCTCACAGTGGACCCACAAGATCTTGTAAACAGCCCTCGAGCCGATTAAGTTTAGCGTCTTAGATCCCAGCTTACCCTGAGTGCAAGAGACTCCAATATTTAGTCTTAGAAAGACTTTTTTGAGCGAGCCGTCTACAATTCTTTATCCCCAAACTCATGAGGCACTGGTACCCAGGGTAACCCCAGCTGGAAGGAAGTCTTCTTTTAGATTCTATTCTTTGAGTGTTGGTGATTGAAGGAGATCAAATGTACTTTATTTCATCTAAATATTTCATAATACTTCAATTCTATTTTTTATAAGAATTTGGTAGTTTCTTCCAAAGCAAAAGCATTAGATAAAAAATACCTGATAATGGGCGAGCTTTAATCATGGAAGTTTAGAAAATTAGAAAGACCAAGCTTGAAAAATTGGATAAGATTATATTGCTGTTAATTTCTGATATTTGCCAATCGAAGTATCGCGGATAAATGTTTTTATTGCACGTATTGATGTTGAAAATCAGAATGTTTGCAGACGAATAATCAAATGTTTGTGCTATAACACAGGGTTGATTTATTATAGCTTTACCTGATTATACAAGATTCAAAACTTTGATTGAAAGTGGATATTAATATATTTATGCTATTTTTTCCCGTAGTGTTATAACAATGAACAGTGCGGTCAAAACGTGATGTAGCTTATTCATGGAGGCTTTCAATCGTGTAACGAAGCTATTGTTTATTTATAAAGAAGAAAATGGTAAGGCGCCATAACGGGTATGATTCGAAAAATTTTGTGCAAGAATGCAATGCAAGCCTTCTTCAAGCGAAATTCAGGTTAAATTACGTCTCTGTCATTTTTCTCTGTAATAGTCCATTTTGCCGGTTTCGGGTTATATCTACTTTGTACATTGAATTCATGAAGCCTTCTATTGGCCTAAGCCTAACGATTTTTGCTTAGGTTACACTTCTACATCTTCTAGCTGGAGAGATATCTCTGTCAGAGTTCCACAAGGCTCGATCTTACGTCTTTTCTTGTTCTTGATATATATGAGAGATTCGTCGAGGAAAAGACTTCTACAAGAGTTTGACATACATGCTGTCACTGAAAACCCTTCTGTCTCTGCATGTCGTGGAAGGGAAGGGACTTAGCGTGGGTTACATCCTACTCATAAGCTTATCACTCGAAACATTTTAGCTAGTCATTATACATGCGTGATTTAGATATCGCTTTATAAACCATTTCCCTGCGACATGCTGTTGAAGCTATTTTCCTTCATAATTTTTCTGCCCAGAACAATAACCTTAATATTCTGTAAACAATTTTG